TATTTTATTTATTTTATTTTTTTATTTTATTAATTTTTTTTGAGACAGAGTCTTGCTTTGTTGCCCAGGCTAGAGTGCGTGCCGTGGCATCAGCCTAGCTCACGGCAACCTCAAACTCTTGGGCTCAAGCAATCCTGCTGCTTCAGCCTCCCGAGTAGCTGGGACTACAGGCATGCACCACCATACCCGGCTAGTTTTTTCTATATATATTAGTTGGCCAATTAATTTCTATTTATAGTAGAGACGGGTCTCGCTCTTGCTCAGGCTGGTTTTGAACTCCTGAGCTCAAGCTATCTGCCCGCCTCGGCCTCCCAGAGTGCTAGGATTACAGGCGTGAGCCACTGCACCCGGCCCTCCATTGATCTTTTTAAATGATTTCTGGTCCACTTATACTTTGTTTTAAATAATTGCCGGGTGCAGTGGCTCACACCTGTAATCCTAGCACTCTGGGAGGATCCCCGAGGTGGGAGCATCACTCAAAGTCAGGAGTTCAAAACCAGCCTGGGCAAGAGTGAGACACCGTCTCTACTAAAAATACAAAGAAATTAATTGGCCAACTAAAAATATATATAGAACAACTTAGCCAGGCATCGTGGCTCACACCTGTAGTCCCAGCTACTTGGGAGGCTAAGGCAGAAGGATTGCCTGAGCCCAGGAGTTTGAGGTTGCTGTGAGCTAGGCTAATGCCATGGCACTCTAGCCGGGGCAACAGAGCAAGACTCTGTCTCAAAAAAATAATAATAATAATTATCTGAGTTATATTTCTGAAATTTCATTGTAGGTGAAAAAGAGTGTCAAGTGGACATGCAAAGCTTGTGGAGAGAAGCAGTCCTTTCTGCGGGTGAGTCCTGACAAACAGAGCAGTGGGGCCCATCCTGCAGAGGGGTCCTCGTGGAGCCACAGCTGGCACCATTTTCTCTCTCACAGAGTTCACAAAGCCCCTGCTTCCTGGACTCCTGTTTTTCAGGAAGTAAAATGGATGGAGCAGTACCTGGAAAGGCACTGTCAAAAAATATTTCTTTATTTAGCAAGTGTCTGTTGAGTACTTTCCATGGGCCAGGCACAGGGGAAACAATGGAAAGTAAGACTGTTGTCATTCTTGCCCTTTCAGATACACTCCTATGTAAGGGGAAGAGAAACCAGTGCACACACAGGTGCACACCTATGTAATTGAAAACTAGACTGAGCACTGTGAATGGGAAGGTCAGGGCCTGTCAGAGATAACAGGGGAATCAGCCCCAGCAGGAGTGGACAGTGGACTGTTGGTGGAGTCGGGGTTGTGGGAGAGGGTGGGCCTGGGAAGGGGAGGTGGTCAAGGAGCACGGGGTGGCAGGGAACATGTTGTAAATGCTCTTATCTAGCCTGCTTTTTCCACTTGACATTGAGCATATCTTTTCAAGTCCATTCATCATGGCCTACCTAAACTCTTCAGTACCATAACCTGTCCGGCATCCTGCTTTGTTGGACCTGCCTTTATTCACCTGTTCTAGCCCTGATGCTGCGTCTTCCAGCTCATCTCTCGTCCGTTTTCTCCTCCTATAGCCACAGTGGCTTTCTTTCTGACCTTGACACAATCCACGTTGCTCCCTCCTGGGGCCTTTGTGTTCATTGTTGGGGCTTCCCTCCCTATTCTCAGTATCCTGTGGGAAATTATGTATCAGTATGTTTATGCGACTTATTGTCCATCAGACTCTACACTTCATGAAAGCAGAGGCGTTTCATATTTTATTTGCTGATGTATCCTCAGCACCCAGCACAGTGCCTGGCACGTAGCCAGTGCTCCATATGTATTTTTTATTTTTTTGGTTTTGGGGTTTTTTTTGAGGCAGAGTCTCACTCTTTGCCTGGAGTAGAGTGCCGTGGCGTCAGCCTAGCTCACAGCAACCTAAAACTCCTGGGCTCAAGCAATCCTCCTGCCTCAGCCTCCCGAGTAGCTGGGACTACAGGCACGCACCACCATGCCTGGCTCATTTATTCTATATATTTTTAGTTGTCCAATTAATTTCTTTCTATTTATAGTAGAGATGGGGTCTATCTCTTGCTCAGGCTGGTTTTGAACTCCTGACTTTGAGCGATCCTCCCACCTAAGCCTCCCAGAGTGCTAGGATTATAGGCGTGAGCCACCACACCCACCTCTACATATGTATTTGTTGAATCAACAAGTAATCACTGATGGGCATTTACCTCGATTTTCCTTTTCACTGTTATGCACAACTCTGCAATGAAGCTTTTCAGTTCACTTGACCAACTATTTACTATCCTTAGGACAAAGTCCTAAAAGTTAAGTTGCTGTTTTTCAATCAAGTTTCTTTTAGTTAGTTACAAATCATACACAGAAATACTTCAGAATGGCTTCAGCAAAGGGGGTGGGGGTGGGGGGAAAGAATGTCCTGGCAAGGAAATGGAGTATCTTAGAGAATACAAGGGCAGAAGTTTATCCCTGACCCCTTAAAGAACTGGCCCCAAGAACTGAACGGCTGCCAGCAAGCCAGGCCTCAGCTTTTCCTTCCTTTCTCCTACCCTCACCCAGTTTCTCCCTGTATCTTTCCTCCCTTTTCTCTTCTCTGTCCCTTCCTGTTTCTTCCAAGACAGTTCACAGTAACATTTTCTGCTGAGTTCACAGAGTCTCATTTCAAGCCACCTGGAATAGCTGAGTCCCAGTGATAAACTCCTGGGAGTAGCACTACTCCAGTGAACTGAGATTGGGTCTCAGAAGACAGGGATTGGCTCATCAGCTAGGCAGACACCCCACATAGTGACTGCTGCTTATCTTAGATGTCGTACGCATTTCTGAATTCTCCTGGAGGAAGGTGTGCCTTCTCTCATGCCTCCATGCCTGTGCCATGGTACATGACTTATGGCCAACTAGGCTGCAGTGACAAACTTACCAAAAGTGTAGTGGCTTGACACAATAGAAGGTGTTTCTCTTGTTCTTAGAACAGTCCTGGGAGGACATTAAGGTCTGCAGGGTGCTATCCTTGGTGTGGTTGCTCAGGGACCCAGGTTGCTGTCATCTGGGGCTCTTTTATTCCCTGAGGCTCATCTGCAACTGCCCCAGCCACCAAAAGGGACAAGAGCATCGAGGAGCTACCTGGGAAGCTTTTAGAGCAAGGCCTGGAAGCAGACAACATCCACTGGAAAGAGCCTGATCTCATGGCCACCTCTGACCACAGGCAAACTGAAGAATTAAGTCTAGTTTTGTGCCCACACAGGGAGAATGCATTTCAGTATTCAGCCAGCGGTTCTGCTCTCTGGGAATGCGCACCCCTACCACTCATGCCAGATCTAGGTTATTGGTCTTTTTCAACTTTGTCATCCCTCTCCAGTTCTCCATTCACCTGAACGTGCTCCGAACAGGACTACATTCCCCACTCAGCTCTCTACCCATCCACTAAAATTGCTCATGTCATAGTTGGCAGTGGTCTCTGGGTTGCTAAAAACAATGGTTGGTTCTCAGTCCTCACCTAACTTACTAGCTCTTATGCACCATGAGTCCCCAGGAATTCTGTGCTTATGGGGCATGTAGAATACTCTCTAAAATTATCGGTGTATGGTATCACACACCTGTAGTCACAGCTGCTGGGGATGCTGAGGCAGGAGGATCACTTGAGCCCAGAAGTTGGAGGTTACTGTGAACTGTAATCACACCACTGCACTCCGGCCTGGGCAATAGAGCAAGACCCACTCTCTAAAAAAATTCTAAAATAAAGAAAAATAAAGAACACTCCCTGCAGATGAGGTGGTGAGGAGCAGCAGACATGTGTAGTGTGTGTATCTGCTCACAGATGTGTCCCTTGTCCCATCACTCTTCACCTATAAAATACAGGTTCAAAGATCAAATGATTAAGAATTTCGAGATGGCAACAGCAAAGCAGGTCTCAGGCCTGTGACGCTGATTCTGCCAGTGGTAGGGCCCACACTCATATTTCAGCTCTTACTATCTTCTAACACCACTCAGCTCCAGCCACACTGGCCTCCTCACTGTTCCTCCAAAGTGCCAGACTCAGGGGCTTTGCACTCCTTTCCGTGTCATTGCTTCTGGGAGAATGTTCTCCCCCGCAGACAGCTATGTGGCTTGTTCCCCGGTATGTGTTCAAATGTCACCATCTCAATGACTCATGCCTTAACTACTTTGAACAGCCCCTGTAAAATTGTGAGTCTGTCCCCACTGTACCCCAGCTCCTTTTCATTGCCTTATCTCTCTCAAGAGCACTTACCGCCATCCGATTATTGCCTGTCCCCTCTCACACGCTGGAATGTGAGCTCTATGATGACAGGGAGTTTTGTGCACTGCTGTATTGTCCACACCTAGATCAGGGCCTGGTACATAATATGTGCTCAGTAAATATATATTGGCTGAATTAGTGACTGCTAAGTGGAAAAAAGTATCTTATTTTGTATTCCTTTGATTATCAGCTAAGGGTTAAGTATCATTTCATATACTTCTTGGCAATATGTGTCACTTTCTTGTGAACTTTTTGTTCATGTTCATTAACCATTTTGTGTAAGGTTTTGGGTTGAATTTGGCTTTGATAGGTAGAGATCAGGGCACCAGTGGGCAGCCAGATAGACCTAAGCTATTAGTTATAGAGCCTATTAGTTTTTAAATCATTCTGGAAATAGTGGTTAATCGTCAGGATGCCTGCATGTTGCTTTAGGCGTCTTTGGGCCTTGCAGCTTTGTCTTCCCTGAGGTGCATCTCAAATGGATCTATTTCTCAGCATTCTGCCAACACTTTTTGACTTTAATATATTTTTTTTGTTTCTCAGGCTTACGGTGAGGGCTCTGGTGCTGACTGTAGACATCATGTTCAAAAGTTAAATCTACTGCAGGGACATGTTTCAGAACTGTCACTCAGGTATGGTTATTTGAGAGGAGCACAGTTTTCTTGCCCTGTTTTCATCTTGACTGAATAGTGGACGGAGTCCATGGAAGTCCCTTCTGTGTCTTACAATATAGCAACTAAACACCCTGGGCAATCCTCCCACTGAAAATAACTGAAAAATTCTGGCTATAATATTCTAAATGCACTGATGAACGGATAGGAAAGTAACCCTTAGAGGTCAAAAATGAAGTAAAAGCCAAAATCCAGAGAGGAAGCACCTGAGCCGATGGAGTGATTGAAGCCTGGTGCTCTGGAGCCTCCATTTAGACAGCTGGGAGGGGTGTAGGAGACAGAAGACAAAGCCAAGGGCCTGTCACTGTGGAGAGGTCAGATGGAGACTTCCACACAAAATAGTCCTCAAAGGATTGCACCCTCAGTGGACAACTATACCCACTCTGCAATGCGTAGTTTGCCTGTTTTGATTTTGGCTATGGCTAAAGAGGGAGAAATACCTCTCCAAGATTTTGGAAGCACAAGGAAGCTCCTGCATCGTTTTTTAGCCTTTTACACACACTGTATAAAAAGCTTCAGCTGATACTTTTTCAGTTGTCCTAGAAACCAGAGGTAAATGCAGCTCCTCTCTGAAGCAACACATCTTCAACCCAGGCCTTACAGGATTCCCACAGATAAAGTTCCAAATCTGGCCAGCCCTGGTGGCTCATGCCTATAATCCTAGCAATCTGGGAGGCCGAGGCGGGTGGATCCTTTGAGCTCAGGAGTTCAAGACCAGTCTGAGCAAGAGTGAGACACCGTCTTTGCTAAAAATAGAAAGAAATTACTTGGACAGCTAAAAATATATAGAAAAAGTTAGCTGGGCATGGTGGTGCATGCCTATAGTCCCAGCTACTCGGGAGGCTGACGCAGAAGGATTGCTTGAGCCCAGGAATTTGAGGTTGCTGTGAGCTACGCTAACGCCACAGCACTCTAGCCCGGGCAACAGAGTGAGACTGTCTCAAAAAAAAAAAAAAGTTCCAAGTCACATATACTCAAGAATTAAAAAGCATTAAACACTCAAGGAAACATGTCGCCATGAGCAAAAGATAGAAGCAATAATCAGAAAAGTTAGAGGCACATAGACTTCAGAATACATAATAATGCGTGTATGGTATATTTATTTATTTTTTTGAGACAAGTCTCACTTTGTTGCCCAGGCTAGAGTGAGTGCCATGATGTTAGCCTAGCTCACAGCAACCTCAAACTCCTGGGCTCAAGCAATCCTACTGCCTCAGTCTCCCGAGTAGCTGGGACTACAGGCATGTGCCACCATGCCCGGCTAATTTTTTGTATATATATTTTTAGTTGGTCAATTAATTTATTTCTATTTTTGGTAGAGACGGGGTCTCGCTCAGGCTGGTTTCAAACTCCTGACCTCGAGCAATCCGCCCGCCTCGGCCTCCCAGAGTGCTAGGATTACAGGCGTGAGCCACCGCGCCCGGCCTAAATTGGTACTCTTTAAAAATTTTGTTTTAATGTAGAAATTGGTACATTTTAGTGTGTGTTAATTATACCTCAATAAGTTAATTTTAAAAGTAAAAAAAATTGGCACATTAACAACAAAATAATGAACTTGCAGAACACAGAAAACAAGGGGAAGAGCTAAAAAGCCTCTAGAGAGAAGAGAACAGTATCATCCCCATCTGTGGCTGAGGAAGCTGGGGTACAGTGATGTGCGCACAGTCACACATAGCTAGTCATTGGCCAAGCCAGGAAGCAAGCCTCCCATCTCTCAAGGTCAGGGGCCTGCCCCTCTGTCTGTGTCACGTTCCCCGCTGATAGAGGGCTTCTTCCCCAGCAAGAGGAAATGAACGGCCCCTCTGCCCAGAATTCCGAACTGCCAGAAGATAACTGGATCACATCAAGACAACAGAGATGTCTGTCCCCAAGGTCCCCTAAACAGTCTTTGATCTCCATCATCAAGTCCTTGCATCCTGCTGATTTCACATCTTCCTTGTCCTTCGTCATCCTGGTCATTTACAAAGGACATATATATGATATTTCCCTAAGGTCTCTGGAAGGACCTGTAGGTGCCAGTGAGGAAGAACCTGTGGGTCATCAGCAGGATGATAACGTGAGTCTACAGGTAAGCCCGCAGCACACCTGGTGACTCTGGGAGACAGGCAGGGTTCCACTTATGTATCCACTAGTCATCGTGCAGCAAACTGTTGCCACCAAAGGATAGGCACTTGGCTTAAACAGGGAACCCACAAATGACTGAACCAGTCCCCATTATAAGGGTGGAGGTACCCATGGGTACGAACCATTCCAGTTCTCTGCGGAAGCACTTTCTCTTCTGTTTGCTTGAGGAACCCCTGAACTTCACTCAAACTTTACTTCCTTGTGCTGCTTCCACTTTGTTGGCACAGCGCTCTGGGTGTGCCTCTGAGAGGGAAAGGCGCTGTTGTAACTCACACCCGGGTTTCCATCTTCCTTTGCTCCAGACTGCGAGTTTCTCAAGAGCAGGTATTGCATCCAGGTGTTCTCTGTCCGCAGCACCTAGTAAGAAGGCTGGCAGAGTAGGTGCTCAGACAGTGACGGGGCCAGGGTGTGTAAGAGCTTCGGTGACTGAGTAGGTGATGCTGTCACAACAGCCAAGCTGCTGTGGACATACGGAACACTGTGGCCTGCCAGGGTTCAGGGATGTGGGGACACCGCCTGCCTGAGGGCAGCGCCCTGCTCGCATGCTGTTCATGGGATCATGCTGGCAATGTCGCCTCACCACCCGGTCTTCGTATTTTCATTCTAAACCGAGGGAGGTGCTCTTCTGGCATCTTTATGTCTGTGCTTCCAATTTGGTCCATTTATAGACTTAACTTTACATCATTTTTATTATAAAAAATACTTCTTTGTATACTGAAGTTTTCACCTATATCATTCTTTGATGCTATACAAGTTTTAATGATTTTCATTCTTTAAAAGCATTTGCAGAATACAGTGGATTTATCCATATTTATTCCCCTCAGTATGAGGCATTTAGGTTGTTTCCACACTTCTGCTCTTGTGAATGACATCTGCTGTTATTTATAGCACTGAGACTAGCATCTCAGTGTGGAGTCACTGCGTCAGGGAACATAGACATCTGTGAGGTTCTTGCCAGGTTGTGCCGTCCGTCCTGCCTCCCCAAGGCCTGTGCCAGTGAGCACCAGCCCCACCAGTGTCCTATGATTGTGTCCCCACCACCTCCAGCCAATGCCTTTCCTGAAGTCGAGGTAGACATGGGTTCTGAGAGCCTCAGACCTAAGAGTTGGGCTGGGTATTTTCAATAAAACTGCCTCTTTCCAACTCTGATGATCAACTTTCCCAATCCTGTAGGAGAAACCACAGACCTCAGAGAGCCGCTGGCTGAAGTATCTGGAAAAGGACTCCCAAAAACTGGAGCTGGAAAGAGTGTGTTTCGACAGACAGCCCTCATCCAAAACAGAGCCAGACTGCCCTTTCAGTCAAGACCTGCCTAGAAAAAGGTGCTACACATGCCTCCCATCCAGCCCTGGTCCAGTGCCCACACTGCCTTTTGCAGTAGGGGCACCTTGGTGGCGAGTGCCAGCAGGTGGGAAAACTAGGGCAGCCACTGTCACTGTCAGCCCCTTGGCCTGGCCGGGCACAAGCTGGGCAGGATGCCAGCATAGGCACCTTTTCCAATGCCCACGTAATTCTGAGTGTCTCAGACAGGACTGACCTCAGGGAAGAATTTAAGGGCAGAGCTTACAAAGTGAAGCATGACCAGGGTAGCTGATGGACCTGGGAACTTTTAGCCTAGCAAAGACCTCACTTTCTGGAAAGTTCTGCTCTGGGCTTCCTCTGTGCATTTCAGTGAGTTTTCTGGAGAGATTGCCTTAGGCTAAGGATCTCCCATGACCTCAGGTAGTGCTTTTGGGGGGTAGATTTCTAGTTTCAAAGAGCATTATAACAAGTACATGCTACAGAGCAGAGAAACGGATGGCCTGGCCTGGCCTTGCTGCAGTTGAATATCCCTAGCTGCCAGCTGGGAAGCGGGAGGCATGAGAAGGCTCCCACCTGAGCTGTTGGGCCAGATGACCATAGAGTCAGGTTCTGGGGGCACTGTTTGATGATAGGACTGTTGACAGCACTGTCCCTCTGCCAGGAAATGGAGCCAGAGCACAGTCCAGCCTCCGTGCAGCTTTGATGTCCAGGGCTTGGGCAACTCCGAGGTCACCTTGGAACCCCAGGTAGGCGATGGAGGATAGTTATTTCTCTGTGGTCCCAGTGACCAATGAGCATCTATGGGACTTTTTTATTGTGTTGTTTTGTCAGTAGTTGGTGGGGTGTAAGGTGTATACCCCAAAAAGCCCAACTTCCTGCCTGGGGTTCTTATCTTTTGTTTGGAAGCCACCTCCTCTATGGTCTGTACCCTATTTCCCTCCTATCCTCTCTGTGATGCTAACTCAAGGCCAGAGGGCATCCTAACACCTTGGAGCCAACTAAAGTTGGCCAACAGGGATTTTCTGAGTCACGAGGGGCACCTTTGTCCAGTGGTCGTCAGAGGGCTTGCCCTGGATTTCTGGGAAAATGCTTCCCTCTACACCTGCACTTCCCCGGTGTGCACTCTTGCACAGGAGACCCTCTTCACTTAGGGTGTCTTGTTCTTGATGCTTCCATCCTGGCAGGCCCCGTGCACATTCAGCCTGAGCCAGGGGCGCTACTGGGCATCAGTCACTGTCAGCCAAGGTCTGCCTTCAGTCAGCCTCAGACCGCGCACGGAGCGCTGGCTCACAACCAGGAGGCAGAGTGCAAACTTTGGTGTTGCCACTAACTAGCTTTGTGACCCCAGATAAGTATGTGGCCTCGAATCTCCACAGAAGAATGATCATGTGCCAGTCCCTGGGCACATGATTTTATTATTATTTTATTTTTATTATATTATTATTATTATTTTATTTTTTTTGAGGCAGAGTCTCGCTCTGTTGCCCAGGCTAGAGTGCTGTGGCATCAGCCTAGTTCACAGCAACCTCAAACTCCTAGGCTCAAGCAATCCTTCTGCCTCAGCCTCCTGAGTAGCTGGGACTACAGGTATGCGCCACCATGCCCGGCTAATTTTTTTCTATTTATTTTTAGTTTGTCAATTAATTTCTTTCTATTTTTAGTAGAGATGGGGTCTCGCTCTTGCTCAAGCTGGTTTCGGAACTCCTGACCTTGAGTGATCGGCCCACCTCGGTCTCCCAGAGTGCTAGGATTACAGGCGTGAGCCACCGCACCTGGCCTATTCCTTTGTTTTAAAGGTGAGGATGAGAGGCTTGAGTGAGGTCACAGTAAGTGCAACACAAGCAAAGCCAACAGTAAGCATCAGCACTGCAGAGCCTCTTCCATGTTGCCTGGGTGGCCGCGCTGCAGGGACCTGCTCCGTCACTACCTTCAAATCCCTTTGTCGGCCGTGAAACCCATTTTCAGTGGATCTTCGGTTCCTGAGGTAGAAGCCAGGCCCCCCCTGCACCTATGTCCTACCCCACAGGGAGCTCAGTGCAACGATTGCCACAGCTGCAGAAGCCCAGTGCAGTTCTGGGAGTCATCCCATCCCTTTGCAGATGGTCTCCAGGGCCCCCCTGATCTCACCTCCTCTCAGGCATCCCGACCTGATTCTACAGTCCCCAGGAGATGGACCACCTGATGACAGGAGAATGTCTTTTTGTGGACAGCCAGGCCATGGGATTTAGCGGAGGCACTGGGATGAGGTGAAGAGTGTTTATTCGCTTTGCTTTGCTAACCCTCAAAGCCTGTCCCCCACTTGCTAGCCTGCAGGAGTAGACAGGCTTCAAGCACAAGGCAAGGTTGCCATAGGGCAGCCTGCCGGCCCAGGCACCTACAGATGTCCTCACTAACAAGGGTGAGGTCATCTTCTCCATTTCTATTTTAGGGCTGTGCTGGCCTGATCGGGAAGGTGAAACGAGACAGCCAGTGCCTCCAGAACTCTGTGGACTGCAGCACCAGTGAGCGTGGTGCTCATCTGTGGGAACTACAGAGTGCTGCCCAGCGTGTCAAAACCATACCTTCTGAAAGGACACGAATTCTCCTGTCAACTGAGGACAGCTCACATGTGGACACAGAGCCACAGAGACTACTACTACAACCTGTACCAGCTGGTCTGGTATAGGTTGAGCAAGGGACCCGCAGGGCCCAGAGCCCAAGGGAAGGCCACACACACCCCCACATCTGGATCTGAGAGGCCCTGCTGGAAGGCCTCCACAACTGCTGGGCAGTTGTGGAGCGTGGGGATTTCTCAGGCAGAGAGTGGGTCCCTGATCCAAGAGGCACAAAAGCCCCCACCCATGCAACTGTGTGACCTCTTTACAACTGGGGAGGATGATCTGTGAACTGAAACTAGCGTGTTACTGACTGAGATACACTTATTACACGGGCCTCTTTCCACTGGACTCCTATAGCAAGGAAACAGGGTTCCCCCTAGGTTTTTTTTTTTTTTTTGAGACAGAGTCTCACTTTGTTGCCCAGGCTAGAGTGAGTGCCATGGCGTCAGCCTGGCTCACAGCAACCTCAATCTCCAGGGCTCAGCGATCCTACTGCCTCAGCCTCCCGAGTAGCTGGGACAGGCATGCACCACCATGCCCGGCTAATTTTCTGTATATATATATTTTTTAGTTGGTCAATTAATTTATTTCTATTTTTGGTAGAGACAGGGTCTCACTCAGGCTGGTTTCGAACTCCTGACCTTGAGCAATCTGCCCGCCTCAGCCTTCCAAAGTGCTAGGATTACAGGTCCCCCTAGGTTTTTTTTTTTTTTTTTTTTTTTTTTTTGAGACAGAGTCTCACTTTATTGCCCAGGCTAGAGTGAGTGCCGTAGCGTCAGTCTAGCTCACAGCAACCTCAAACTCCTGGGCTCAAGCAATCCTCCTGCCTCAGCCTCCCAAGTAGCTGGGACTACAGGCATGCGCCACTATGCCCGGCTAATTTTTTTTTTTTTTTGTATATATATATTAGTTGGCCAATTAATTTCTTTCTATTTATAGTAGAGACGGGGTCTCACTCTTGCTCAGGCTGGTTTCGAACTCCTGACCTCGAGCAATCCGCCCGCCTCGGCCTCCCAGAGAGCTAGGATTACAGGCGTGAGCCACCACGCCCGGCCCCCCCCTAGGTTTTTAACAGGCATGGTGTACAAGGACCAACAGTAAACATTACTGCCTAACAAATCATTTCTCGTTGCAACTGACACTAGGACAACATTGTTGATTAAAGTGCTGATACCATTTAATTACAGATTGTTTAGAAATATGGAAATAGGATGGCTACAAAGGACTCTTCTCACTTCAAAGGACTCTTCTCACTTTAAAAGCAGCTGACACATTTGGAAATGAGAGAACTGAACCATTGTGGTTAGGAGAAGAGGGTCAGCACGTGGCAGGCAGCATCGCATGTGGTCTTCCCTTCCTGGTTCCCCAGTAGGGACCCTGCAGCCACCGGCTACCCCATCCTCCCAGCTCTCCTTCAAAATCAGAATATATCAGGTTTCTAAGCAGAAAATCAACTCAGTACTACTAGTTAACTTAAAAAAAAAAAATCAGAAGGCCATCAGGCTGCTGGTATGCCTCTGGCAGGATAGAGGCTGGGGCCAGGGCCTGCTCTGCCCTGGGAAGCTGCAAGGAGCCAGGGCACTGAGGGAGGCCAGGCTAGCTTCTTAGACATCGATGGGCACACTCAGACTTTCCCCCCACGTCACTTGTTCTGCTGCCTGAATGGCTTCATGCACCCTACCCCCCGATTCTGGAATAAGAAGGCAGAGAAACTGGCCCATGCAGAGGCCTGCATCATACACTAGCTCAACACAACTATGAGACCAAAAAGGAGAACACTGGTGAACAGAAGTGGTCACAATGGTGGCGGGTGCTTTGAATACTGGATGGTGTCCAGAGCAGCTCCAATGTCATAATTCTTGGTCTGGAGGAGCCTGGTGAGCCAGCCGCCTTCATCAGAGAACCCCATGGACAACATCTGAGACAGGGACTCGATCAGCCTCGGGTCAGCCTCTGCCAAGAACAATGAGAAGCCATGAGCAAGCGTTGCTAAGCCCCATATGCAACCCAAGGCACAGACACTGGCATCCTGGTCTTCAGCCAGGAAATCCCCAATGCCCACCAGGGGCCAGCCCTGCCCTGGGACCTCAAGCCCTCCCAAGAATCCCCAAGATGCAGCTGCTGACAAGTATTTTTTGTACAGGGCCAGACTGTAGCTATTTCTGGCTGGCTGTGCAGGCTCTGCCACAACTACTGAATTCTGCCACTGTGGCCCCAGAGCAGCCACACAGGATGAAAACATATGAGCATGGCTATGTTCCAATGAAACTTCATTTATGGACACTGAAATTTGAATTTCATCTAATTGTCACATCATTTGATTTAAAAATGTAAGAATCACTCTTAGCCCACAGGCCATAGTTTGCTACCTCCTGCTCAGAGACAGAGAAGATATATACTGGCAACCCAACAGTTGGCTCACCCATTACTCAACACTACTTATGTCACTGCAACATGATAATAAGGAACCTAAGCTGTGTCTTTTATTCAGAGTCACTCTGACTACCAGTCCCCACCTCACTCTGCTGCTTTCCAAACCACCCACTTCACATGGTGGCTTCCTGCCTGGCACCTACAGGGATCTTGGCCGTGACCGCTGCACTAAGGTCAGCCCTTGCTGTGAGGAAAGTGAACATGGGGTGAGTCCACTGTCAGAATCACGAGCCAGTGCCAAACCCATGGTATCTTCTAGTCACACCTGCCTTCTTCATTCTTGGTCTAAATCTGAGCTCATCTACTATCACTCAGTATAAACTCCAAGGACAAAGCCTACTCCTGATTTCTGTGTCTACAGACGAGCCCCATGGCAGAGAACACCCCATCCTTTGATCTGTGTTGCTGAAATCAGAAGGTGACAGGATGCTCTGAAAGAGAAAGGCAGAAATACAAAACCTCCTATATCACTCACCTGGTGGAAGATGTGGGTACAGGGCAGCTTCCTTCAGCCCTGTGGGTCCTTCCTGAGAAGGGTCCAAAGAGCTTGGCCCTTCAGAGTCTGGCATCTGTAGAGACTGGAGTTCACCTGTCGATGGGTCCACTTCTTTTGAAGATAAATGGGTCCAGTCATCATCTCCTCCAGAACAGTTGTCAGATTCCATCTGTTCCTGGAACAAAAGTCACATGAGCACACAAGGGACATGACAGCAGGCCAAGCTGAGCACAGCACTTCTTCCTGGAGGAGTCAGGGTGTGATGGGGGTGTGTATGATTGTGCGTGAGGTACCCAGGCAGGGCTGGCAAGGTGCTACAGGCAACGGTGAGGCACTCACAAAGACCAAGTATATTTTTCCCTACAAAGTTCTAGCAGAAGGTTCACAGTGACTTAAGTGCCACAAACATAACTCTGCAACAGCACCAGGGAGCCTTGGGCTACATAAGTGGGGCTCTGTAGGTGCTGGGGATGAGGCAGCAGTGTGGGGCAGAAAGCAGTAGGCAGTGACAGGTGGCAGGAGGGGAACAGGCTTGCCTCGGGCTGCCCCACAGACTCCAGTTCGATCTTTTTCATTTGCTCTGCCAGAGACTGCTCGGTATTCTCGACGTTCCCTTCTGGCTTGGTGGGGTCAGAAGAGCAGCTGCTTGGCTGAGAGCCACTCTTCTCTTCTGTGCTGGAAGTCTCTGGAGAGATGGGCATCAGGCGGCTTCTTTTCCCTCCATGTTCCACATCAATATCAACTTCAATGCCTAGAGGCCAGGGAAGAAACTGGAAGCTATGAAGTCCCCCAGAGGATGGGCCTGCTGGCAGGGTTTCGGCATGTGGGGACTACAGGCTCACAGAGGTCCTCTGTTGTCCCCACAGCCTGTGAAGGTTGGAAAGGTGGTCCTTACTGGATGGACACAGACACTGGGCTTTACTACGGAGCTTGGCCCAGAGTCAGGCAGATAGCATGGGACCCACCAAGACACAAAGCCATGAGGCAGAAGGTGCCCTGTGATTTTCAGGATCCCAAGGGCTTCTCTCCCAGTATCCTTACCCCAAATCACCTTGGCTTCCACAAACGCTCTTCCAGTACGTTCACCATGTTGGACCTGTCTCTTCCTCCAATTAGCAAAACATTAACCTCAGCTAACATCCAAGGTCAGCTTCTGAGCCACAAAGTCCACAGAGACCATGCAGAACACAGGCTGCACAGTACGCTGGCCAGGCCATATGAACATGGTGAATCAAACACGACACGTGGCCAGATGCCACATCCGCAGCGAAAACCAAATGCCACACCACGGTGGCACACAGGGTTTTGTGCTATGCTAAGTACCCTTTTTTTTTTTTTTGGTTTTTACTTCAGTAGATTTAAGGGTATGAGTAGTTTTGTTTTTGATTTTTGTTTTTGAGACAGAGTCTTGCTCTGTTACCCAGTCTAGAGTGCTGTGGCGTCAGCCTAGCTCACACCAACCTCAAATTCTGGACCCAAACCATCCTCCTGCCTCAGGCTCCCGAGTAGCCGGAACTACAGGCATGCGCCACCATGCCCGGCTAATTTTTTCTATATATATTAGTTGGCCAATTAATTTCTTTCTATTTTTAGTAGAGATAGGGTCTCGCTCTTGTTCAGGCTGGTTTTGAACTCCTGACCTCGAGCAATCCGCCCACCTTGGACTCCCAGAGTGCTAGGATTATAGGTGTAAGCCACGGCGCCTGGCCATGAGTAGTTTTTGATTACAGAGATGAATTGCATAGTGGTGATGTCTAGCCTTTTAGTGTACTGATCACCTGAACAGCGTACATCATACCCACAGGCAAGGTGCACGCATTCAAACACTAGGGTTCAGCTCGGGGAAGCAGGCAGACCCTGCCAGCAAAGTGAGGCCCTGAGACAGGCAACATGGGGTGGCCTGCGTGCCTCCAGGCTCACGCATGCTCCAATGGTAGAATCACCTGCACCGATTTCTAAATTCAAATTTAGCTAAGAACTCACACCCACAGCTTAGCACCAATATTTCCCAGATGTGTCCGGAGGCTTTGGTGCATACTCCCTGACTCCCCATGCCCTGCCTGCACCTGAGCTCCCTGTGCTCCCTCAGCTCCTGCTGCTCTTGCCTGATGTTCCAGTTTACATCTGGTCGCTTCTTACACTAGATCAATATTTACCTCCCCTTCCCCTATCCTTTTTTAAAAACTCAATTTTTGGGTTAAAGCAGCATTCCATGTTTATGAAGTGCCACTACATAAATATCGTTCTTTGGGCCGGGCATGGTGGCTCATGCTTGTAATCCGGGCACCCTGTTAGGCTGAGTCAGTAGGATCCCTTTAGCTAGAAGTTCGAGACCAGCCTGAGCAAAGCCAAGACCCCATCTCCACTAAAAAAATAGAAAAATTAGCCAGGGATGGTGGCATCCGCCTGTAGTCCCAGCTACTCAGGAGGCTGAGGCAGGAGGATTGCTTGAGCCCAGGAGTTTGAAGTTGCTGTGAGCTAGGCTGACATCACAGCACTCTAGACCAGGCAACACAGACTCTGTCTCAAAAAAAAAAATTGTTCTTTGCTGGGCCAAGCAGTGGACATGATTATGTCCTTGTATAGATTTTTGTTTTCCTGCCACTAACAATGCCCTCTTTTTCATTTGCTAACTTTCCCCATTTCTCCAGCAGCATCTCTACAATTTTCTATGAGGGCAAAGCAGATCAGAGGCCCCATGAGTTCTGGTATTTTCCCTGGAGTGCCTGCTGCGGCCAGAGCTAGCAGTACACGGGCAGGCGCCTGGCTGTGTGGCAATGGCGGCCTCGACTTTCACCTGGCAACTCCCTTTACCTCTCTCCTGTGTGAGGTCCCATTTCCTGGTACCTCTGTTCTTCATCCTAGGTTTACTTCTTTATTTGGTTCAAGCCAAGGTCAGCACTGTTCTGCTCTCTTGTTTGATCATTTTAGCTGAGTATAGAATTATAGGTTGAAAAACCTTTTTAGGCCAGGCACGGTGGCTCATGCCTGTAATCCTAGCACTCTGGGAGGCCGTAGGCGGGAGGATCACTCGAGGTCAGGAGTTTGAAACCAGCCTGAGCAAGAGCAAGAAAAAAATTAATTGACCAACTAAAAATATATATACCAAAAAAAAAAAAAAATTAGCCAGGCATGGTGGCGCATGCCTGTAGTCCCAGCTACTCGAGAGGCTGAGGCAGGAGGATTGCTTTAACCCAGGAGATTGAGGTTGCTGTGAGCTAGGCTGATGCCACGGCACTCACTCTAGCCTGGGCAACAAAGTGAGACTCTGTCTTAAAAAAGAAAGAAAAAAGAAGAACCTTTTTGACTGACTGACTTTTTTTTTTTTTTTTTTTTTTTTTGAGATAGAGTCTCACTTTGTTGCCCAGGCTAGAGTGAGTGCCGTGGCGTCAGCCTAGCTCACAGCAACCTCAATCTCCGGGGCTCAGCGATCCTACTGCCTCAGCCTCCCGAGTAGCTGGGACTACAGGCATGCGCCACCATGCCTGGCTAATTTTTTTTTTGTATATATATTTTTAGTTGGTCAATTAATTTATTTCTATTTTTGGTAGAGATGGGGTCTCGCTCAGGCTGGTTTCGAACTCCTGACCTTGAGCAATCTGCCCGCCTCGGCCTCCCAAAGTGCTAGGATTACAGGCGTGAGCCACCACGCCCGGCCTTGACTGACTTTTGAAGTGACCAAAGTTGTTCCACTGTCTGCTAGCGTCCCATTGTTGCCCTTTGTGCCTGCGCACATCACAGTGACCGGGAGAGTTCCAGGAGCCCTCCTCATGCCGGGCTCTGGTGTCTGACAGCCAAAAGCTTTGCTGTGGGGTCTTTCTCAATCATTGTTCCAGGCATTCTGGGCCCCTTTCAACCTTGAGATTATCAACAGTGCCAAAAACCTGTCCTGCATTCCCTGTTCATTTCCTCATTTCAGTTTTCTGTTCTCTTTCTGGGATTCCTATTCATCCTATATTGGGCTTCTAGGATTAACCTTCTACTAATTTTTTCATCTTTTCTATTTCTATTTATTTTGCTTTTGGAATAACTCCTTAAGACAATCTTAGAATCTAAGCCTTCTTAAATTTTTAGTTTTCTGGCTGGGCGTGATGGCTCACGCCTGTAATCCTAGCACTGTGGGAGGCTGAAGCAGGTAGATCACTCGAGGTCAGAAGTTCGGAAACCAGCCTGAGCGAGACCCCATCTCTACTAAAAAGAGAAAAATTAATTGACCAACTAAAATATATATATACAAAAAACTAGCTGGGTATGGTGGTGCATGCCTGTAGTCCCAGCTACTCGGGAGGCTGAGGCAGCAGGATCTCTTGAGCCCAGGAGTTTGAGGATGCTGTGAGCCAGGCTGATGCCACGCTACTCACTCTAGCCAGGGCAACAAAGTGAGACTGTCTTAAAAAAAAAACAAAAACATTTTTTTTAGTTTTCTTCTTCCTATTTTTTTTTTTTAATTTGTAAGAACTTTCTTATTCTGTTCCCTTTGTTCCCCTTTTTATAGTATTCCACTCCTTTTCATGGATAAAGTACTCTTATATCTCATTCAGTACATTATGACTTTGTAAGGCCTTCTTTTCCATGTGCAGAGGCTCTCCTTGGATGGCTGGTGGCTGTGCCTGTCTGACCCTAGTGAGGCACTAAGAAGAGGCCCACAGGAAGCCCTCTCTGTGGGGCCAGGGCCTGCCTTAGCTTCCCCTCTGTAGGGTGACTACAGCCCAGCTGGTGGGGGCTGTAGGACTCTTCTGGAGCATTCAGCCTCCCTCAAGAGGGACTCCCCATCTCCTGTCTGGCCAAGGAAGTGGCTGCTGGGCCCACTCCTTGCTCATGATGCCCAGTGCCTGGTTAATGCGTTCTGCTGTGTCCCCAGTATCCCATGGCTGAAGCTACCCTGGGTCAGGTGCCCCTGGAATCAAACATAGGTCTCCTGCAGGGGTGGCAAGGACCATCACCTGGCTGAGAGACACCCTGGAGCCTCTTAGTGACCCTTACTAGAGGTTTTCAACCTGTCCCCTTGTAGCCTGGCCGTGTCACTCCCCCCTCTTGCCTTTCCTGGCACCTAGCAGATGGTCTTGCCTCTCAACAGGGCTGCGTACAGGTCTCCGCAGTTGCCTCTATGTGCGATGTGTTGATCACATCAACACACCTCTATGTGTGGGTGTGTTGATGCCTCCGCAGTTGCCTGCCATCCCCATCATTTCCTGTCTTCCAAAATCTGACATCTTCTTATATTTTCCTCTCTTACTTTCTTTCCCTTTTTTTTTTTTTTTTTTTTTTTGAGACAGAGTCTCGCTTTGTTACCCAAGCTAGAGTGAGCGTTGTGGCGTCAGCCTAGCTCACAGCAACCTCAAATTCCTGGGCTCAAGTGATCCTCCTGCCTCAGCCTCCCAAGTAGCTGGGACTACAGGCATGTGCCACCATGCCCGGCTAATTTTTTCTATATATATTAGTTGGCCAATTAATTTCTTTCTATTTATAGTAGAGACAGGATCTCACTCTTGCTCTGGCTGGTTTCGAACTCCTGACCTCGAGCAATCCACCGGCCTCAGCCTCCCAGAGTGCTAGGATTACAGGTGTGAGCCACTGCACCCAGCCTCTTTCCCTTTTTCTTGTCCTTGCTGCTTTATGCCTCTTTGCTTAAGCCTTTACTGTTGTTTTAGTAGCATTTGAGGGGAGCAGAGATAAAAGCAGGCTTAACTACAGCTGCCTCCATCTGTAGTACTTAGTTTTTCTTTTTTCCTTCCAACTTTTCTTTATGAAGCAAACAGAAAAGCTGAAAGAATAGTACATTTTTAAAAACTGGGTGAGTGATTGGACACTTCTGTAAACAGAGCAGAGATTATTCAGGGTTGTCCCAAAAGTCACCATACATAGGAAAATGGGAAATTATAGTTTTATGTACCTTTGTTTACAAAATAGTCATTACAAAATTTTACAAAATGTTTCCTTGTATGGAGACTTTTGGGACACCCTATAGAATTTGGGTTCCTACAACTTGAATAAACCCTGAGATTTCAACCCAGAGTTTACCACACTGGACAATGTCCTGTGACCAGCTGCCCCCAAAGCCTCTATGTGTAGGTGTGTTGATCAAAGATACTGTGAACAGGAAGGGTCCTGCTGCTTTATGTCCTAGACATCAGTGACTGCGACCTCCAGGCCAACAAAGTCCTGGGCCTCAGTGGTGGATCACACAGCTGCTTCTCACAGCACCTAACAAAAAAGGCAGAGGCTCTGTGCTTGACAGTCACTGCCCCTCCACACACTGCCACTGGAGCCTGCTCCTGACTCGTTCCCCTTGGGCCCTGCTCTGGGAACAGTCTCTTCTAGGCAGTTACCATGTGAGTCATCCTGCTTTTAGGTCCTCATAAAGAACGAAAAATACCCGTGACTGTAACAACAAATGGAAACCTCCAAAGCAAGAGGCCCGGGCCCCATCAGGACCCACTTACAAGACCAAGGCAGGCCAGGGCTGGGGGCTGCTCTGTTTCAAAGTCCTTGCCTGAACCAGACTTGGCTTTGTGGCTTTCCGGCATGGCTCTCCTTCATTCTTTTAGTGAAGGGCTTTTGTTCTTCATAATTTTAATCACGTTTCCATACACCAAAATATATACTCCCAAAACCCTTCATTGGTGATTCTGACGCTCAGCAAGGCTTGAGAACCACTGTTCATTTGTTTCCTCCAGACAAGCTGCCCAGGGTCCCTAACAGCCCATTAGTTGGAGGCATATGCCTCAAAATTCAACTGCAGGCCAGGCACGGTGGCTCACTCCTGTAATCCTAGCACTCTGGGAGGCTGAGGCAGGAGGATTGCTCGAGGTCAGGAGTTCGAGACCAGACTGAGCAAGAGCAAGACCCCATCTCTATTAAAAATAGAAAGAAATTAGTGGAACAACTAAAAATATATAAAAAAAAATTAGCCGGGCATGGTGGCGCATGCCTGTAGTCCCAGCTACTCAAGAGGCTGAGGCAGAAGGATTGCTTGAGCCCAGGAGCTCGAGGTTGCTGTGAGCTCAGCACTGTAGCCCGGGCAACAGAGTGAGACTGTCTCAAAAAAAAAATTTCAACTGCAATTTTTCAGACTTTTACTGTGTCCCGAGTGAATGGCAGAGGTGTTTAGGCACAGCCTATCTCCCAATTAGACTCTGATCACTGCACCACTGTTTTACCCTCGTTGGAAGGCATTAAGAATAACAACTTTTTTTCTCATTCTCTCAAAACCTCTAACTCCAGTATAGAAGCCATGTGTGTGGTCTGAGCTGTTTAATTTAGCAGCAGCAATGCTAAGATGTCACTGCTGCCTCAAAGCAGAACAAGTGGGGTTGAAGCAGATGGCGGTCATGCCCTGTAGCCATGGCAGGGTATAGCAGGTGGGGTCGGGGGACCCCTCCCATCAGCATTCCTGATAGAAATTGGACACAACCTTTGGACAGGCTAGGTGGACACTACCTGCTACTGCAGTCACAAAGATGAGCTCTCTCTTCTAGTCTGCAATCATGATCTCTTACAACCTTGAACTGGAAGTCACCTTCATGAGCTGATTCTTACTGCCACAAGCCAAACCCTGCAGCACCCACCTCCAGACCCTTGGATGAATGCAGCCAGCACTTTCTAAAGCCACAGGAGAGTATCTCAGAGCCTGCACCTGAGGTCACGTGGCACTACTCTGGAGTGCCTGCTGGGGGTCACCCACACCAGCAGACCTACTCTGCAGTCCGAGGCACTGTGTCACAAAGAGCACCTGCCTCCACTGCTCCCTTCCCCTGAAATTTGGCACAGGCCCAGCACTCAAACACCCAGGAATGGTTTGGTGGTTACAAACAAAAAGGAAGAATAAATAAATAGCATCTCAGCTAACGACTACTGAAGTCCTCAAGTCCAAATCTCAAGGCTCAGTTTAGGGGAAAATGCAGACTGTTATTCCCTCAGTAAAGGACAGTTAGAAGGTGACAGGCCAGCCCTGCAACCATAACCTAGTCACCCTGCTGGGTATCCCTGCCAAATGCTGGCTGATTCCACTTCAGTCCCTGTGGAAAGCTCAAGAATTTGTCAGTGAATTGATCTTGAATTGCCTGTGGTCCAGCACTTGGCAAAGGCCGATCTGAGGCAACAGAACCTCACCAGTGTCAACTACCCATTTCTCCACAGGGTCCCAGGTGGAAGTTTCAGAAGGTACACACTGAGTCACCGCAGCCCTCAGCTGGCCTTGAGGGACAGACAAGGAGGGTCACTCACCCAGGGGGCCGAGGGCAGCTGCCACGCTCTCTCCTACATTCTTCAGGAAACTCACGCTGGGATCCTCAGATGGACCAGAAGCTTTGATTTTTTTAAAACAAAAAGGTATCTTTAATTCAGTGCCTTTGATACCTATCACCTTCCTGCCAGCCAAGGTCCCTGTCATCCCAGGTGACCTCTACCCCTAGTAATCTCATCACCTTTCTCCTCTCTCTCCCACTCTGCACCCTCCCCTACATGGGCCATTCCACCTTCTTCTGTGACCCTGGTGTTCAGTTACCCCACAGGGGCTCAGTACACACAACAGGGAAGTACTGACCACATCCTAGATATGTTACTAACTCAAAGTTTAACAAATTTCCTCATCTTTGTCCTAAAAGATGAAGTGAATCAAAGGACACAGTAAAACTAATAAAATCAGAATCTAAAAATCTAGAATGCAAGGCCATGGGTAAGTTTTTAACTTTGAGACTGTTTTTTTTTTTTTTGAGACAGAGTCTCGCTTTGTTGCACAGGCTAGAGTGAGTGCCGTAGCATCAGCCTACCTCACAGCAACCTCAAACTCCTGGGCTCAAGCCATCCTCCTGCCTCAGCCTCCCAAGTAGCTGGGACTACAGGCATGCGCCGCCATGCCCGGCTAATTTTTTTCTATATATATAGGCTGGTTTTGAACTCCTGACCTCGAGCAATCTGCCCGCCTCGGCCTCCCAGAGTGCTAGGATTACAGGCGTGAGCCACCGCGCCCGGCCTTGAGACTGTTTTTGAAAGACTGGAGCAAGGCCAGGTGTGGTGGTTCACACCTATAATCCCAGCATTTTGGGAGGCTGAGACAGGAGGATCACTTGAGCTCAGGAGTTTGAGGTTGCAGTGAGCTATGATAAACACCATCACACTCTAGCCTGGGTGACAGAGTAAAACCCTGTCTTAAAAAAAAAAAAAAAAAGAAATTAGATTGAAAATTTTCAGAAGACTGGATAGGCCGGGCACGGTGGCTCACGCCTATAGTCTTAAAAAAAAAAAAAAAAAAGACTTGAACAACTTTAGCTCTGATTTTCCTGACAATTATGACAAAAGAGAAGAGAACAAAGTACATCACAGAGATCTAGGGGAAGGGCCTCCCTGCCTGTACCTCAGGGGTACTTCAAGGGCAGCCTGGTGAGGTGAGAAGAGCTGGAGATGAATTAGTGGACGTAGGCACTCAGGCACCTCAGTTGCCCTACTTGTGAGATGGAGAGATGATACTCCCCGCTTTGCAGGGCCCTTGTGAGGACTGAAGGGCGTGGCAAGAATTCAGGACATGGGAAGGCATGGCTAACAGCCCTGCATGCAGTTCAGACTTGAGCCTCACCTGATTCCGCGGGCGGGCTGGGGTGGGCATCCCCTGCTCGGGGAGGACGTGGGCTCCAGTTCCCTGGTGGGCCCATCTCCCAGCCTGGCCACCCAAAGTGCCCGTGTTTCAGCTTGCGGAGCCAGCGGCTGTGAGAGAAGCCCTGGGGAAGAGTAAGCAGAGGGCAAGGCAGTGAGGGGCAGGGGCTCCTGACACCCTGCATCCCCCAGCATGCACGGAGGGCCTGCTCACCTCGGAGAGGTGCCCAGAGGGGCTGGGGAGCGCGATCTTGGTGTGGCCTCCGTGCAGGCCCTTCCCCTCGCAGACAGCGCACAGGTCATAGTCCGGGCAGATGCTGCACTTGTAGCGGGTTCCCACCACAGGCCCATTGCAACCGTCGCAGATTACATTGGGGTGCACCATGTTGCGGGGTGCCTCCTGAGCATATAGGGGGCGGTGGTCCCGCCGGCACTCCTTCTTCTCTGCAGGGAGGGTGGAGAGAGCCATTAGGATAAGGCCCCCTGGAGTCCTCCCCTCCATCATCACTGCAGGACTGTCACAGTCAGCAAGGTGCCTGCCCAGCTCCCCCACACCAAGGCCACACGGAGTTCAGTTGCTCAGGTGACAGCAAAGAGCAACCAAGAGCCTATGAGGAGGTTCCCAGTCCCAGCACCCGATAACCAGGCGCCTGTGGCCCAGGCAGCAGAGAAGCAGCAGGGGGCCAGGCCTGCACACCTTGGACCTTGCTCCTACCAAGGCCCCCAAAGCTGACCCAGCCCTATGGTACCAGGCCCCATTCCTACGGTGGCCATGGATTCCTCTCTCAGGCCAGGTGCAATATTTGTTATGTCCCTGTCTTACATGGCCCTGAGACTCCTGACCCCTTCTTCAGAAGACATTAAAGTCCTATTTTTGCTCAGCCAGGAGCACCTAGTTTCACAAAGCACCCCAGAGCAGCCCTTACCTTTAATGTAGATTCGGAAAATGTCATCCTTCACGTAGGACATGGCCATTGTCAGTTCCTCATCACTGGAAAAGGCAACCAAGTCCCCATCCTCATCTAAGTTGTTTAAAAGATGACATATAAGAGACCAGGCATGGTGGCTCATGCCTGTTATCCTATCCCTCTGGGAGGCAGAGGTGGGAGGATTGCTTGAGTTCAGGAGTTTGAAACCAGCCTGAGCAATAGTGAGACCCCCATCTCTACTAAAAATAGAAAAATTATCTGGGCATTGTCACACATCTGAAGTCCCAGCTACTTGGGAGACTGAGGCAAGAGGATCACTTGAGCCCATGAGTTTGAGGTTGCTGTGAGCTGTGATGATGCCACTGCATTCTACCCTGGGTGAGAGTGAGACTGTTTCAAAAAAAAAAAAAAAAAGGAAACTGAGCCCCTTACTTCCTCACTGCCCCCTTCATATAAAAAAATAAGTATAAATAAAAGACAACACATGAGGCCAAGCCTGGTGGCTCACGCCTGTAATCCTAGCACTCTGGGAGGCTGAGGTAGGTGGATCGCTCAAGGTCAGGAGTTTGAAACCAGCCTGAGCAAGAGCGAGATCCTGTCTCTACTAAAAAAAGAAATTAATTGGCCAACTAAAAATATATATAGAAAAAATAAGCCAGGCATGGTGGCACATGCCTGTAGTCCTAGCTACTTGGGAGGCTGAAGCAGGAGGATCGCTTGAGCCCAGGAGTCTGAGGTTGCTGTGAGCTAGGCTGAGGCCACAGCACTCTAGCCTGGGCAACAGAGTGAGACTCTGTGCCCCCTCCCCCCAAAAAAAGACAACACATGAGCACCCAGGGACTCAGCTGGACACAAGCTGCTGAAATGACTGAAGTCAGTACTAAAGGGACAACTGTGAGGCTGTAAACTGGAGCCCACCTGCCTGAGCCAAGAGGAAGCAGGGGTGAGAAGTGAGACTGCACCTTCAGTCTGGCACTGCTGGATGGCAGTGCTCTACCCTGGGCCGTAGCTGCGCAGGAGGCGGAGGGCATGTACAGGGGCAGCAGCAACAGCTGGCTGCCTACTGCCCGGCCTCTGGGCAGCTGCCCCTTCAGAAAGGTGTCCCCTCAGTCCACATCTGACCAGGCCCAGATCCATCTTCAGCTGTGGGAGATCCCTGCCTGTGCCCTGCTCCGAAGGGGCCTAGCCCTCTTATAAGGCCTTGGGCTTCTGGTGGTTTAGGCGTAAAAGGAGATAGATGAGCCCATCTGCCTGCTGCTTCCCCCAACAAAGCTAATAAAAAATGTATGTAGTCTCCAGTTTTTACCCATTAGCTCAAATGGTTTTAAAGCACCACCAAGTGGGCCAAACTGTACCACACAGCTGCAGGCTGGACAGGCCTGTGGGCCACCAGAGGCAACATCTAGCACAAGAACAGGAGTGGCACCAAGAGGGGGAAACAACCCAAATGTCTCTCAAGTAATGACCAAATAATCAAATCGTGGCCTGTCCATACAACGGAATATTATTCGGCCACAAGAAATGAAGTACCAATATGTGCTGTGACCTGGGTGAACCCTGAGCACATTATGCCAAGTGAAAGACACCACTTGTAAGACGACACTGTATGACTGCACCTCGTGCAGCATCCAGCCAGGAGAATGAACAGATAGAGCAGACCAGAGTTTGCTGGGGAGATGGGAGGATGGAGAGATGACAGATAAAGGACGTGGGGATTATAAAATGAAGAAAAGGCTCTAAAATTGTGATGATGGTCTACAAACCTATCACTATGCTAAAAACCACCGAACTGCTCACTTCAATTGGGTGGACTGTATGCTATGTGACTTATAGCCCAATAAAATTGTCACAAAACTCATCTTTTTAAAGAACAAGAGTGGCAGGAAGGCTGGCAGCACTCCAGAGGGAGGTTCCACCACTGCCCCCTCCCAGGGGCCGGCCTTGGCCACTTGCCTGCCACCACAACCTCCCAACCCCACCCGCAGCAGCCACTGGCCACACCAGTGCAGCAGGAAACTGAACTAGCTCCTGGGCCTCTGTCCCCACACAAACACCTCTGAGGAACGTTCAGATCCTGTGCCCCACTGCCAGTGGGATAAAGTCTGTAACGCGGCCTGGCCTCTGGCGCTCAGTGCCCCACCTCTCCGCGGTCCCGGGCTCCCAGGCCAGGCCAGGCCAGGCCGCCCAGAGTCCCCTCGCACCCCCCGCTTGTTTACCCGCGTCACTGCCTCTCCCTGCCAGCCCTTCCTCCCGGCCGCCCTGTCTGGGCTCTTCTGGGGCATTATCTGAACCCCCCACCTGGCGCGGCAGGATGTCCAGCGTAACCTGAGCGCCCGCCTGACCACCCTGTTCCCGCAGAGAGCCGCGAGGGCGCCCTGGCGCGTCCCGCCACGCTCCGCTCCGCACCGCACGGAGGGGAGGGCGGCACCGTACGCCCCAGGCCCGTGGGCCCGCCGCCCGGGCACCCGAGGGACAGCGCTGAGCGCAAGAACACGGTCGGGACCGGGCCTCGGTCACCACTCCTGGTCACCGTGCAGGCACCCGAGGCGAACTGGGGGCCCACGCCGCCTAGCGAGAAGCCAGACAGCCCCACTCACGGTCCACCGGCCGTCGCCGACGAGGAAGGGGGCGACCACCCCGCCCCGCGGGCCCCGCCGCAGGCGGCCCAGCCCGGCTGGCGTCAGCGCGCCCGGGCCGCTCACCGCGGTAGTGCGCCTGAAAGCCGCCGGGCCGCAGCGCGGGGAACAGGGCAGCCACCCGACTCAGCAGCCGCTCGCAGGGCCCGGGCCCAGCTGCGGCCTCGGCTTCCGCCTCGGGCTCGGGGCTGAAGCAGAAGCTGAAGCGGCGGATCTCGCGCGCCGCGTCCTCCTTGCCCAGAAGGTAGGCCTTCACGGTGCACGACGCCATGGCCGCCAGCCCGAGCAGCCGCCGCGCAGCGCCCGCCGCCGCGCCTTTTGTAGGGGACACGGCCCCGCCCGCCCGCCTGGGGGCGCGGCCAGCCCGCCCCGCGCGAGCCGCCCTGTCAGGGCCCCGCACCCGCCCCGCGCCTCGGGCGTCCCCGGGACTCTCATTGCTGACCCCTCTCTTCACTACCCCCGGTACCCCGGGACCCCAAGAGGTCGGCCTTGGCACTTATCCGGGCCTGGGCTCCAGCCTCTGCACCTGGGGGAAGGTGATCGGCAGGGGCCCCGCCCCTCGCCCGTCCCAGACTGGGGCCTGGCCGTGACTCAGCAGCACAGTCCCCAGGCTGCTGGGGACGTCCAGTGGAGGGGACACGGAGAGGCCTGACACCAAGAGGCTCTAAGCTGTCCAGTGGGCGACGCTTTCCAGAACAAGCTGGCTCCTAGGGTGCTGTCCCCGCCCTGCCATGGTTGGCCTCCCAGGTGGCAGCCTTCTCCATTGTCCATAGCATCTCCATGATGGGCCCTAAACTGGGTTGAGGGACAGACCTTCAGTCCGGCCGAGCACCACAGAAGCTCCCTGTTTAATGGGGTACAGCCGAGCGGGCCTGGGGGGCGCAGCAGCCAAGCGTTCACCGCGGCCCAAGAGACTCATGGGTGCCAGACACCACCTGGCAGCACGGGCTCAGCTCAGCAGGTGGAGGCCAAGGGCCTGCGGGGGCTCAGGCCTGTTAGCCTCACAGGAAGCCAACGGGTCACACCAAACCCCTCCAGCTGGGAACCAAGATACACTGCTACTATGTGGCCAACGCGACCTGTTCTCAAGGCCTGAACAAGAAGTTGCTCAGGAAGGGCATGCCACTCTATGAAGCCTCCCAGGCAGGGTCCTGTGAGTAGGAGGTGCGACCTGCTGTGTCAAACAAACTCTTGTCCTTTCAGGGTGGGCCTGGTGGGAGGACAAGCTCCAGGGTGGGAACCCAGAGACCACGGGCGTGTTGGGTGGCTTGTGGCTACTCGGCCTAGCCGCGTGCTGCGGGGCACAGCAGGGGCTTGCCCACAGGTGTGACCGAGCCGTCCCAGAGAGCTCCAGAGTGGGCAAGGCCCGCAGACAGTGCGGTACAGTTCCCTCAGGACAGTCCCTGCATCCAGCGGTGAGCCTGGAAAGTGACCCTCAGCCTGCCGGACCCACTCCCGGGTAGGCAGGGCCAGGTGCCCGGGATGGGGCGTGCTGGGCAGCGGCCTGCGGACAGGTGCTGCAAGCGTGACTCAGCAGCCTAGTAGCCTGACAGCCACCCCGCCCCGGGCCGCCCGCGGGTCAGGTGCCCAAGGACAGCCTCCCGCCCGCGGGTCAGGTGCCCAAAGAAGGCCCCGCCCCCAAACCAGCGGGGGCAGGGCTGCCACTGGGAACTCCTGTGCTTTCTCACATTTGGCCCTTGGGGACCGTGGCGGGCGGTGGGTTTCGGGAGGGCTGCAGGACTCAGGAAGAAAAGAAGCCGGGGGCGCTGTGGAGACCTCTCCCCAGGGGAGCCGGGCCCTTCCCGGCATGCCCTGCGGCCGGCGCCGCCCTGCCCCCACCTAGGCGGCAGGAGATAAACAAGGCGGTGGCGGGAAACCCCCTGGCAGGGCCCTCTGCTCCGGCCTCCGCGGTCAGGTGGTCTGGCCGGCAGTGAGTCAGAGTCCCATGACTGCTGTCATAACAGGGGATCCCCGGCCCTCTGCTGCCACCCATCTCAGTGAGCTCTTCCTTGGCGGCAGGGGCGGGCAGCGGACCCAGGGCCTTCGTGAGTCTGTGCGGGATCCTGCGCAAAAAGAGCCTAAGGAGGCCAGGGCCGCTGGCCAACCGACCCTGCCCCTCTTCTTTTTTTTTTTGAGACAGAGTCTCGCTTTGTTGCCCAGGCTAGAGTGAGTGCCGTGGTGTCAGCCTAGCTCACAGCAACCTCAGACTCCTGGGCTCAAGCAATCCTCCTGCCTCAGCCTCCCGAGTAGCTGGGACTACAGGCATGCGCCACCATGCCCGGCTCATTTTTTCTATATATATTAGTTGGCCAATTAATTTCTTTCTATTTATAGTAGAGACGGGTCTCCCTCCTGTTCAGGCTGGTCTCGAACTCCTGACCTCGAGCAATCCACCCGCCTGGGCCTCCCAGCGTGCTAGGATTACAGGCGTGAGCCACGGCGCCTGGCCTGCCCCTCTTCTGATGTCTGCTGTCCTTCCACTTTCCCCAGATGCCCGGAGGACCCCAACCTCCCTGCATCCACTGGCCCGGTTCCCACCCTCCAGAGCTGGTGGGACACTCAAGGAAGGCCTGGCACCTAAGTCAGGAGACCAGCTATCAACCACTTGCCATCTTTGGGCAAATGACCAGCCTGTTTCCTCATCGCTGGAGTGAGTTGCCCCTTCCAGGGGGGCCGTAGGTGTGCAAGTTGTTTAGCTGCCCAAATTTGGGGGGTCAGGGAAGAGACTGCAGAGGGGTTTTGGGGGACAGAATAGGGAGCCAGCAAAGACCTGAGCCCAGCGGGTCTGGGAGTCAAGCAGGGGTGGGCGGAATGTCTGATTCTGCTTTTTGCCACCTGATGTATTGTAGCCACGTCCTCAGTTTTCCCCTTCCCTTTTCCTAAATAATCTGTCCCTTAGCAATGGTTTTCTCCAAAGTTCATTTTCTTTGGGATGTGGAGTCAAGTGTCCAGCCAGAGACAAGGCCGAGCGTTTCTGGGCAATCCCTTAGGAGACTGAGGACCACAGGGGGCAAAGGCCTTCCAGACCAGCTGTAGCCCACGGGAGAGCGTCTCCAGGCCTGCAGTGCAGCCACTCCCTTCCACTCACTCACAGGGCAGCCCCTGCTCGGTTCCCAATCAGGCCAGCTTACTCCACCTGGAGACTTTTCTCAGGCCCCTCCTCTGATCTGAAACCCTTTCCCCTCCAGCCCTGCATGGCATCGTCCCACCCTGAATCTGACCTCCTCAGTGGGGCTTTCCCTGCCTTCTCTCTTGGAAAAATCCCTGAGCACTGCACATCACCTTTTAGCCCTTTCCTGCTGCAGCTCACAGCCCAGACAAGGGGTGTCAGGGGACAAGGGAGTGGAGAGTATGCCCACAAGAGGTTTGGAAACGTATTTCTAAAGGAAAAGGCGCTCAAGGTTTAGACAGACGTGGCTAGAGAATTCGGTCATGCCAAGGTGTTGGGGAGTGGGGACACCAGAAACCCTCTGGCGCGGCTGCTGGGGGCATTTCTCCAAATAAATTCTCACACTCCCCAACTCAGGGATGGGGCGAGACCTTGGGCCCTCCAGGCTCACTGAGGGATGCCTAACGTTGCCTAGCAATGTGCATGGCCATGAAGACGGCTGTCACCAACACCAAGTGGGGAGAGAGAGGCTGGCAGAGGCCTGCTGCTGGGCTGCCCCGTAAGTGCTGGTGAGGGAGCTCAGCGCCGAAGATTAGGGGATGGGACCCGCCAGGCCTCTGCAGCAAGCTCAGGCCGCGGGACGGGGGCAGTCAGTGGAAGGGGGAGGCTGGGCTGAGGGCATCTGCAGGCCAGGCCCGTCGGGGGCAGGCACTGGGTGGGATTCCTTGTCCCACACAGAAGGCCAATGGGCACTTCACTCTTCCCAAAGCACCTGAAGAGCCCACCTGGTACTACTCTTTGGACCCATTGAAGTGGTCCAGGCCACCACTCTGCATGTCCCCTAAGGCTGTTCATGGATTGGGACCTGCCCCTGCCTTGTTGTCTGGGATGCCCTGTAGCTACAGGGAGGGGACTCCAAAGAGGGTCCAGGATCTGATGGCCTTGCCTGTCACCAGCCTCTCCTTTCCTTCACTACACAGTGGCCAGAGACCTAGCCCCACAAACAGAGGGCCAGTCTGACTGCAGAAGGTTCTGGAAAGGCTGGACACGGTGGCTCACGCCTGTAATCCTAACACTCTGGGAGGCCGAAGCAGGCGGATTGCTTGAGGTCAGGAGTTCAAAACCAGCCTGAGCAAGAGCGAGACCCCGTCTCTACTATAATAGAAAGAAATTTAAAAAAAGAAGGTTCTGGAAAGACAGAGGAGGAGCCAGGAGGAGTGGGAAGGAGGCCTTGAGGACACCACACAGTGATTCGTGCAGAAAGCAGTTCAAGAGGTGGGAGGCCAGGCTCAGGAGAGGCCGCCTGGCCTTCTCCAGGAGGCTCCCGTCCCGCCCCGCGAGGATCAGAGTGCGGGTCTCCCGGAGACGGTCTGCGGTCAGGTCATGGCTGCACCGTAAGTGCGTGCCCTGGCCCTCTCCGTCCCCAGCCTCCCCCTTCGAAAGCTCTGGAATATGATTTTGAGGATCTAACCCTTTCCTGCTCCTAGTTTCCATGCACAGCCTGCTCCCTGGGGCTCTATCTTCTCTCTCCCACGCCCAGCACCTGCAGGTACTTACCAATCCCCCACCTCAGCGCTGGGCTCCACACGCCCCCACGGCTCCCACTACTTCTCCCTTGGCCGCACTCCCTTGACCAGTGTCCCTGCGTTCCCACCGGGAGCACCCTCTGCTTTGCTGGTGTCCCTGGCCTGGCAGGGCTCAGGTAGTGTTTGTGGGACATGTGGCTGTCGTGTGTGAGTGTTAGACACAACGTGTGCCGCAAATCCGCACATCGTATAGCCCTGATGCTCTGCAGTAGGTCAGTCTGGGGTGATCTATGGATAAAAGCAGTAACAGTGCAATCCCTACCCGTGCTGGGCCAGGACCTACGATTTAGGGTAGGGTGACCCAAGGTTGGCTCACAAGAGCACTGCAGCTCCCTGGGTAGGGAATGGACGAGTGACCCAAGCTAGCCGATAAGAGCTGGCCATCTGGAAGTTAGAGCCAGCCCGGGAGCCTCCACACTGAGCAAGTGGTCAGAGCTTGATCTCAGCATCCACCCTGTGGGTCCTGGCAGGCCTAGTGCTAGATCGTGAGATGGCTCAGGCCGTTGATTTTGGCTTTGGTTGATTATATCCAAGAATACTGACCCACCACCTCCTCACACTTCACGCCTGCTCCAGGGTTCCCAATGGCAGTGACAGTCACCACAACACAGGCCAGAAACCTGAGAGGCAGCCATGACCATGCCTCTCCTTCAGACCACCTGCAGTTCCTACTGATTGCACTTCCTCATATTAATAGTAACAACAGTAGGAACACTCATGTGGCACATCTTTCATGCCAGGAAACATTCTGAATATTTTGTATATGTTAACTCACCAGATTGTTTATTTATTGCCAATGCCAAAGATTCCAGAGCTCTCTATCTCTTTGCCAGGGGAGCCTGAAATGCTTGGTAATTCCTCTAGCCTGGACAGGAACTACAATAAGCACAGCCCCCAGAGGACCCTTGAAGGATATACAGTTTTGAGAAGTACACACACCTTTTTCTTATTTTGTTTTTTAGAGACAGGGGTCTTGCTATGTTGCTCAGGCTGGTCTTGAACTCCTGGGCTCAAGTGATCATCCCACCACTGCCTCCCGAATACCTGGGAATACCAGCAGTCACAACACCTAAGTATACTTTATTAAATCACAGTGGCAGAGGTGGTGGCTCACACCAATAGTCCCAGCACTTTGGGAGGCCAAGGCAGGAGGTTCACATGAGGCCAAGAGTTCAAGACCAGCCTGGGCAACATAAGGAGAGTCTATCTCTACAAAAAATAAGAAAAAATTAGCCGGGTGTGGTGGTGCGAGCACCTGTAGCTCTAGCCACTTGGGGCACTGAGGCAGGAGGATCACTTGAGCTCAGGAGGTCGAGGCTGGTATACCTAAGATTACACCACTGCACTATAGTCTGGGTGACAGAGCAAGAGCCTGTCTGTAAAAGAACGTTTTCTTTAAATCACAGAAATTTAGGGTTGTGAAATTTAGGCATAATCAAGCCTATCCTATCTCATTATTAGCCCTATTTTACTCCCAGCTAAATGGGAGACCTTACTTTCAGGCAGATAAAGTTGTTCAGGTAAAAAGTCTACTCTCAAATTTTTTAAGCTCAAAATAATTTTTATGCCACAGTGGTGTATTTTGAACTCATTTACCTACAGGAGCCCCTCCCTGTCCTCCTTGTTTCCTCTGTATTCTCACCTGCCCTCTCCTGGCCTGCAAAGGATAATTTCAAAATGCAAGTACAACTCCAGCCCCCACTCCTCTTCCTGCTTTGGACGCATGCAGAGCTCCAAATGTCAAAGCCCAGATCCTTGACAAAGGGTCCCTCTCCCAGCACTCAAGGAGTGCCAGGCTCCTTTAACACGGCATTTGCATAGGCTGGGCCATGAAGCGCCACCTCCTCTCCCCTGGGTCTTACTGCTAACCTCATCCGCTGGAGGCCATGTGCCAGCCCAGGCGACAAGCTTTCTGAGCCCCATGGACCTTGCCTTAAGCACTGGGTGAGGTGGCTGTGGCCAAGACTGTGCCAAGGCAGGGACCAGGTCGACTTCTGTGCAGGTGTGTTTGTACTGTATCACTAGAGACTCAAGCGTGTCAGCACACAGTGGACACACAGAACATTTGTTATGAATGAACAGGGGACTGACCATCTAAGGACAGGGCTACCAGCTAGAGGAGGCGAGGCTTCAGGGCAGGGCTGCCAAACTCACTGTGCCAGGGATGCCCTTAGTATCTGCAGAAGACGAAGGACTCAGAACCATGTTTTGAAATGCATTGCTTTACCAAAAAAATTTTAACTGAAACGCAAATGTCAAAATACAAAAATATGTTTGTGATATATAAATATCTGTGATTCTTTATTAACATAAAATTATAAGATCTAAAGGGAGAACTAATAAGTACCAGAAATACAAAGTGACTACTGTGGATATAACCACTGTTTTGAAGTGTCTGCAACAGCTGTAGAGCAATACATGACAGTCGCTGTGATCTGTCACCGCAGTCACTGGGACTTGTTAATTCTGCGGGACTTTGCTGTTCCACTCACAGAAGTTTCAGCTAGACTGGTGAAAATAAGGATGGGTTGTTCTCACCTCAGCTCCTGGACTGCCCCAATTCCGGGTCCCTGGACCACAGGTTAAGGAAGATAGAAGGAGTGGCCCCTCCACAGCTATCTCAGGAAATCTCCAGGAAGACAAAGTGGGCAGGGAGCTGGCAGGCAATCCCAACACCAAAGGGCATTTCTCTGTGTGGGAAGCAGAAAGGGCAAAGAAGGAAAGGCCCACAGGCTGGAGTTTCCAGAGAAAGCCTGTGTGCCTGTTTGGCTGCAGGCAGGAGTCGGTGTCCTGAGGCATAGGCTTGCCCCCACTCCTAGCACAGGTGACAGGCATTGCTTACCTGGAAGTGCAGGGATTTTAGGTTGCAGGCAGGCCCAGATGGATTAATTACTGCAGAAGAAAACAACTGCTATCTCACTTTCAAAGGGAGATGGTTGGGAATGAATGGGCTAGAGTGAGGGTCAGGGTAAATGACCCGCCACACTGGGACATCAGTCTCCCCCCACCACTCATCCTGGCTCCCCCTGCCCCAAAGCCACTGAGTGTGGGGGGAGGGGACTCAGAAGAGCTTCCCGAACTCCATCACTGACAGAACATCTCCTTCATTTTTACTGGTTTAATAATTTTAATATTTTTCCTTAAATAAACTCACTTCTAAAGTTAAATACTTATTGCAAACAATTTTCAAGACCCTTTATATCACAATCCAAATGAAAACCATTATCCTTGCCAGGCGCAGTGGCTCACGCCTGTAATCCTAGCACTCTGGGATGCGGAGCAGGAGGATCACTTGAGCACAGGAGTTCGAAACCAGCCTGAGCAAGAGCAAGACCCCTCTCTACTAAAAATAGAAATTAGCTGGACAACTAAAAAGATATAGAAAAAATCAGCCGGGCATGGTGGCGCATGCCTGTAGTCCCAAGCTACACAGGAGACTAAGGCAGGAGGATCACTTGAGCCCAGGAGTTTGAGGTTGCTGTGAGCTAGGCTGACGCCACGGCACTCACTCTAGCCTGGGCAACAGAGCGAGACTCTGTCTCAAAAAAAATAAAATAATAATAGAAAAAAGAAAACCATTATCGTTTGCCACAAATAGAAGACATCTGTGAAAACACAGGAACACAAAACACTACAGTTTCCTCCAGAAGGCTCCAACAAGCCGGGGCTCCAGCTCAGAAAGCCGCTCCGCAGGCTCGCAGGCGGCACGCAGCACCGAGGGCGCGGCGTCTCCGCGGGCGGGCGGCGGCGAGGCCCGAGGCGGAGCCGGGCCGGTCCCTCGGTCCCTCGCAGGTCCCCGGGGGCCGGGCCGCTCCGCGCGACGCGCCGGCCCTCCCTCCCCGCCGCGGAGCGGGCCCGAGCCAGGGGAGCGCCGGCCCGGGCCACGCCAGCGCCTGCCCGCTCTGCCCTCCCGCCTGGCCGGGCCGCCGCAGGGCGTGGGCGGCGATAAAGCGCCACGCGGGTCCCCAGGAAGGCCGTTGCCGGGCTCTGCGGTGGTCCGACGGGGAGCCCCCGCCCGCCGGAGCAGGCGGCCGGCGGGCGCACCGCCGGGCTCGGGAAAGCTGGGCCCGGCGGCTCCCCCAGGAGCCGGTTGGCCGGCCGCTCTGCGTGGTCGTCGCGGGGCGCCGCGGAGCAGGGGCGCGGGCCGGCCCGCGCTGGGGAGGGCACGCCGTCGCGGTGCCCGCAGAGCGAGGGCCGGTTTGGCCGGCTCTGGCGGTGGGCGGTCCTCCGAGGGCGCCGTGCGCGCGCGCGCGCGCGGGCGCCGCGGGGCTGGGGAAGGGCACGCGGTCCCCAGGAGCCGTTGCCGGCTCTGCGTTCGGTCCTCGGGGAGGCGCGCGGAGCAGGGCCGCGGGCGCCGCGGGCTTGCGGGACCCCGAGGGCCCCGGGCCCGCGCCCAGGAGCCGTTGCCGGCTCTGCGCTGGGTCCGGAGGCGCGCGGAGCCCTCAGGGCGCGGGCCGCCGCCCCTCGCGGCGCGGATGGCCCAGCCTCGACCTGCCGGAGGCCGGCCCCGGGGCGGCCGCAGCCGGGGGCGCACGAGCCCCATCCGGGCCGGCGTCCGGGGTCGCGGCGGCCCCCTGCGCCCGCCCGCCTCGTGGAGACGGGCGGCGGCGGGTGCTGCGGGGCCCTTAAATGCGGCCGCCCCGCCTGCGCCGTCCGACTCGCGGCGGCCCCGATTCCAGGCTCGGCCAACGGCTCCCGCCGCCCCGCCCGCTCCCGGCCAGGCCGCCAGCGCCCGCGCCCGCGGAGGAGAGCACGCCTGCGCGGGCCCGCCCGGTCCCCGCCCGGTCCGCCGCATCCCCGCCGGCCCGGGACCCCCCAAGCCCCTCCAAGCCCCGGGCCTGGCGGCCCGTCGCGCCTCCTGGCCCCCGCGCCCGGGCCCCGGTCCCCCGGGCCATGCGGCCTCGGCCCCGCCGGCGCCCGCCGCGCACCGGAGGAGATGAGGCTCCGCAATGGCACCTTCCTGACGCTGCTGCTCTTCTGCCTGTGCGCCTTCCTCTCGCTCTCCTGGTACGCAGCTCTCAGCGGCCCGAAAGGTGAGCCCCATCGCCCGCCGCCGGCCCGCGCCCGCACCTGGGCGCACCTGGGCGGCGGCCGCGGGAGGCGGCCGGAAGCCGACGCTGCGCCCCCTCCCCGCCCGGGCGGCAGGGAGGACGCCCCTCCCACCCTCGCCCCCACTTGTTTGCTGCCGGAACAGCGAAAGTCTCCTCCGGCCCGGCTGGGCCAACCGGCCAAGCGGCGGCCGGCCCCCGTGGGGTGCTTGGGACCAGCCTCCGTGGGCACCGTTATCCCGAGGCTGGGGTGGTGGCTGCCACTGGCGAGCTGAGGACTCACGGAGTTTTCCGAGAGGGGCAAGACACAAGGTCACAGAGGTAGCTGTGACCAGGTAGTCCCAGGGCGCCAGCTCCAGTTACCTGGGCAGGAGCAGGTACAGTGTTACAGTTACACAGGTGTGAGCGGACAGCCAGACGTTCAGGCACTACCCTCCATACAGGCACTCCTCTTGTCCACCCCAGCCCGAGTCCACTGTGGTGCTCTTCCTGCCTGTGGTGCTCCTGGGAGCGCCCTGCAGCCCCCTCCATGACTCCTCGGCAGGTGCCTATGGCTTTTGGCCTGTGGGAATGAGTGAAGGCCTCGTGAGCAGCCAGCCCAGCCCCTGCCCCCATAAATTACTTTTGTGGGCTCACTGGGCCACCCCCAACCCCTACCATCCCCACCCCTGAAGCTTGCTCAGGCCCGCCAGGCCCTCTGGGGCTGGCTGGCATGCTTTCGGGTGGCGGGGGCCAGCAGACCCAGCACTGGCTGGAGTCCCTTGTTGGTGGTAGGGGTGGTTTGGGCGGAGTGGGGCCTGAGGCTCTTGTCCAGCCTGAGGCACAGGAGGTGCAGGGAAGAGCTTCCTTCCTGCCTCTCTGCCTTCCTGCTTGAGGCCTAAACAGGATCAGGCTGCGCCAGCTGCCCCTCTGCCCCTCTCCTGCCACTGCTTCCCTGTTCCCCGACAGCACACTCAGTGTGGCTGTGGGAGGACCTGGAGTTTTCCTGGCCCCCCAAGCCCTGCTATACCCCCACTGGGCTCCTGTTAGACCAGCCCAATCTGCTGCACTTGTCCTTGGGGTAGAATCCTGGGCTGGCCTTGGGCCTCCAGGACCAGAATCACAACCCAGGGACTCAGGGAAACTGCTAGGGCCTGGTACAGGGAAGGGCATGGCTGGGGCAGAGTTCTTTGCAGGTAGGGCGTGTCGCCTGCGGGAGGGCATTCCAGCACTTGGGAGAGTGGCCATGGAAGCAGACTGGCACGAAGCCCCAGCGGGCAAGTCCCTTCGTGTGGGTGGGTGGTGAGCCCTTGCACGCGGTTCCACAGCTCCTGTGCCTCCTGCAACAGCCGCGCGCCCTCAGGCTGGCATCAGGGTCCCCACAGTATGCCCCTGGAAGCCCAGATGGCCATAGGGAGCCAGTCTCGGGGAGCAGCAGAGTGAGGGTTTACATGTGGCCCCCATCTAGGGCCTACTGTGCCTGGGGGAGGCATCAGGAGGCTGGCATCTGAGGGCCTGGGGAGCAGGAGGGCACCCCCCCGCCAGAGAAGGGTAGGGGTTTAGGTGCAAGGGTCCTTCCCCTAGGGGACGGAAGCCCACAGGCCAGAGGGGCATGGAGAAGGGGTGATCTGGGCCTCCTTTTTGAAAGACTGTCGCTCTTCCTGTGGGGACCAGTAGGGGCACGTCTTTGGAGGCCTCGAGAGAAGTCTTAAGCTTGGGCTATTATGTGAACCTGTCTCATTCTTACATGTACATAACTGTATCAAGTCCCGGCAGAGCCAGACTAAGCCAGTCTGAAGCTAGATGGGGGGGTCCTGGCCTCTAGATTGCCTAGGGTAGAGGTCTCAGGGTAGGCCCAGTACTTATTAGAAAGGCAAAGAAACCAGAATTTTCAGCAAAGGGAGGAGGTGGGCAGGAGGCAGAGAGGAAGGTTCAGCAGGAGCAGGTGACATCCTGGAAGCCTATTGTCAAGCCCAGGAAGGATTCTTAGACCTTGGCAAGATGGGCCTTGGAGGAAGGTTTTGGGCCCAATTTCATACCCTGCCTTGCTTGGCTAAGTTTGTGAAGCAGCTCTGCCAGTGTAGGCCTGGTCCAAGCACCGGCCAGCGACCACTCCCAGGGAGGCAGACTCTTAGGTGGTGACCCTGGGCCTCAGCCACACAGCCCTCCCCAGTATCCAGGCTGTCCCCCTCCCTGGGCCCGCACCTCAGCAATGATAGACAGCCCCTTGTGACCCCCAGGAGCGTGCAAGGCGAGGAGAAGAGGGAAACACCTGCCACCCACCTGCAGGTGAAGGGCAGGCTGTTGGCTGGGCCAGGCACCTGCCTGTGCTCCTTGGAGTCTGTTCCCTTTCCCTCAGAACGGGGTGCAAGGGTTGTGTCCCCACTTGGTCTTTGATCTCTCCCCCACGAAGAGGGAACCAGTGGGGAACATTGTGGTTTTGGGGCCGGGGGTATCACGATTACCCTGCCCTGGGCAGGAGGGTGAGAAAGGCCCCAGTCCTCACTGGTGCGGGGTGTCTCTCAGTAGCTGGCCACAGCTGCAGCCCTTCCCAGGGCCAGCCCGCCACTCCTCCCTGGCGTAGGGAGGTGTGGATGGAAGGAGAAGCCAAAGTCCCTTCAGCCCCAGCTTCCAGGAACTGCTGCCACAGCCTGCCTGCCCAGAGGGCCAGGGGCTCCCCAGCTGCCCCTCTCAATATTTACGCTCCTCGCCTGTAATCCTAGCACTCTGGGAGGCTAAGGCGGGCAGATTGCTTGAGGTCAGGAGTTCGAAACCAGCCTGAGCAAGAGCGAGACCCCTGTCTCTACTATAAATAGAAAGAAATTAATTGGCCAACTAATATATATAGAAAAAATTAGCCAGGCATGGAGCGCATGCCTGTAGTCCCAGCTACTTGGGAGGCTGAGGCAGGAGGATCGCTTGAGCCAAGGAGTTTGAGGTTGCTGTGAGCTAGGCTGACGCCATGGCACTCACTCTAGACTGGGCAACAGAGTGAGACTCTGTCTCAAAAAAAAAAAATACTTGCACTCCTTCCAGGCCCATGAAGGGTATGGGGTATCGGCGTGGCCTGGTAGAGTCTGGCATGAGGCCCAGCCCATGGGGAAGCAGTCACAGAGCTTGAGTTTCTGGCTTTGACAGGCAAGGTCAGAGTGGACCCACAATCAGAGAAGCCGGGATCAAGGTCAAGCTGGGGGCCTTGCAGGGACAGGGCCTTCAATATTCAGGGAAATGACAGAAGGGCTGGTGTGGACGGGAGCCCATGGGGCTGGTCCCCTCCTGATAAACAAAAGACCTAGACAGGAAGGGAGGCGCCCAGGGGGAGGGAAGCCATAGTGGGGAGCAGTCTGCCCGGGCCTAGGTGCCCACTGGCCTGTCCACCTGGATGAGCTGGTGTTGAGCAGGCTCGTCCTGCGTAAGGCACAGGGAAGGCCAGGGTCAGGGAGCCCTCTGCCCTCCCCGTCATTTCACAGAGTGGCCCCACCACAGGGGCTGCTCTGGACAAGCCCGTGGCATAATCCACAAACCACAGTCCTTAGGGGACTCAGTGGCTCCACTGTGTGGGGGTGGGTGGCAAAGCCATAGGTGGGTGGGTGGGGACTCGCTGTCCAGGCAAGTCCTGAGCTCTGAGCTCCCTCCTGAGGGCTTCAGGGCCTGACACCTCCAGGACTGCTGGTTGTGTCAGCAGTGTCCATGTGGGCTATTGCTGAAAGGAGGACTGGTGAGGGTTGGGGTCAGGTTTCCAGGGTAACTCAGCCTGGAGCCCGGCTTCAGCCTCACAGAGCACAGCTCTGGCAACCCAACTCTCCTTCTGTCCCCCAGGGGCTGCCTGAAGCTCTGCCTTGGCCTTTAGGGTGTGGCTAGGGATGATCTGCCTGGCTCCCCTCCCCCCAATCCCTCCCGCCTCTGGGCTGCCCCTTCTTCTTCCCCTGGGACTCAGCACTTAGACCTCTGCCCCAGCTGCTGAAGGGGGTGTGTCCTGAAGTGACCAAACTTTGCCTTGATTGTGACTTTTGGTGCACAGAGCTTGGGGCCCAACACCACCTGGGGGCACATGGGGCTGCGAACCCAGGGAGGTTAAGGACCTGAAGAGCTGCCTGGGGGTAGGGTGGTTCTGGAAGGCTTCCTAGACTTCACAACTTGGAAACAGGCCTTAGACCCTGCACAGTTTTCATTAGGTCCTGAAGACAAAAGGGGATTCTGGCCGAAGCCACAGCGCCTTTGCAGGACATTAGACATGGGAAAGGAGGCGGATGTCATGGCAGAGGAGGGCAAAGGCTAGCCCAGAAGGCCCAGTGCACAGCCACAGTGGCTGCTGGCTCCCAGCCACAGGGAGGTTGTTTGCCTCACCCTCCTCACGGGGCCCTGCCAGACAGTGCGGCCAACCGCTTGGCACCAGGGATTCCTCCTCACAGCTGGCAGCACCAGGCGGGGCCTGGCGGGACATGGGTTGGCACCTTTTCTGAGGTGGCCCAGACTTGTCACAGGTCTCCAGAGACGCAGGCGCCAGGGCATTCAGAGCTTGTCCCTTCTCTGCTGTTGGCTTTCCTTGAGCAACCTCTGGGCTAGTTCTCAACTTGGTCTGCTCCTCAGAGCAAAGGGGTGGGGGGCTCCGCAGCTGCAGCCGCCACCCCGGAGCTGGTGAGGCTGAGAACCCATGCAGAGTGAGAACCAGCGATGGCCATGAGGACAGTGACCCTGTGCCCAGGCTCAGTCTATTTGGAGGGTGGGAGGAGGAGTCTAGGGAGGGTGGCTGTCCCCAGAAAGCCATAGGATGGTGCGGCCTTAAGGTGGGGAGGCACCCGGAGCCCAAGGTGTGGGCTGGAGATAGAATTCTCACACCAGGAGCAGAATAGTTTTAGGAAAGAAAGTTTGTTTTACTTCTCAAAGGCAGGAAGGGCACAACAGGAAAGTGGGGAGGGTAGGAGGTTTCAGGTTATTTGGGAACAAAGAAAAAGAAGAAAGTAATTGTAGCCAACTGATAGCAAAAACAGCTGAGAAACTGTGTTTTTTAATTTTTTTCCCTTCTCTGTGAGGCTGTTTATCAAAGTCCTTGAAATGTAGTCCTGACGGGAACTGAGGCTGGAGGGGCTCACAGCCCTGCTGGCTTCTTGGGGCTCTTCCGGACACTAGGGAAACTCTTGGAGACAACGGCTGAGGTCTCAAGTGTTTAGTCAAACAAAACAAAGGGGTGTTTGTGCAGTGAGTTTGTCTTTAGAGGGGCAATGATATGCTGAGAGTTATTTCTCTTTCTGTTTGATGGTTTATTTTCCTCTGTTAGCTACTTAATTAACAAGGCCACCTTTCACTGTGACATCATCCTGGGAGGTAGGGGCTGAAGGGAGGGCGGGGCAGGGGGTCTTGAGGAAGGGGCATCCTCATGCCTTGGGTGGGGCCTTGGGCATCCCTCCCCCACTCTGCGAAGGAGCATGTGCTGTGAAAAGCAAGAGGGGTTACAAGCCGTGGGCAGAGGGCTCAGTCTGGGCTGTTCCGGCCCCTGCTAGGCTGTCCTGCCTAGGGCTGGAGAGGGCACCTAGAGAGCGCTAATCCCCTGCTGGGCGCTTTTCCCCGCAGCATGTGTTAGGGTGACTTTAGAGTGGCCATATGTGACTCCAGATGTTCTGTGTAGATGGGACAGATGTACCCACACACACTCAAGGGGCGGGAGGTCAGCTCTAGGCCGCCCCCTGGTGATGGCGTGCGTGCCGCCTGCAGGCGACGTGGTGGACATTTATCAGCGGGAGTTCCTGGCACTGCGGGACCGCTTGCACGCGGCTGAGCAGGAGAGCCTCAAGCGCTCCAAGGAGCTCAATCTGGTGCTGGACGAGATCAAGAGGGCCGTGTCAGAGAGGCAGGCTCTGCGAGACGGAGACGGAGACAGCAATCGCACCTGGGGCCGCCTAACAGGTGAGCTCCGGGGCAGGACCAGGTGGCGGGGCCAGGCTGGCTGCGTTGTCTTCATCGGTGCTGTCCCTTTTTGATCACCCAGAGGACCCCCGACTGAAGCCGTGGAACGTCTCGCACAGGCACGTGCTGCACCTGCCCACTGTCTTCCACCACCTGCCGCACCTGCTGGCCAAGGAGAGCAGTCTGCAGCCCGCGGTGCGCGTGGGCCAGGGCCGCACTGGAGGTAGGGGCGTGGCCAGGGAGGGGTGCCAGGGAGGTGCTGGGCGGTCCCCTGCGCTGCCCTGCGTCACGCCTCCGTGCCCCGCAGTGTCGGTGGTGATGGGCATCCCGAGCGTGCGGCGCGAGGTGCACTCGTACCTGACGGACACGCTGCACTCGCTCATCTCCGAGCTGAGCCCGCAGGAGAAGGAGGACTCGGTCATCGTGGTGCTGATCGCCGAGGCGAGTGCGCGGGGTCTAGGGGCCATTCAGAGAAACACCCATGGCGCAAAGTAACCAGAAGGAGAAATTAAAACAGGACATCATTCCAGAGGAAAAAGCTTTCAGAAGTCCAATTGTCAGTTTCATCACAATTTATCAAGACAAAGTTAAAAAGAAAGGAACGTTTTAGCGCCCCCTGGTGGGGACGCCGGTTACCCGCTGCCCCGCCCACGGGCCTGCCGCCCTTAAAGGGCTTTCTCTGAGGCCAGCCCTACTGGGTCCTGGGCACCAGGGCTCGCTCCCTCCGCAGGCCGGGGCGGCTGGAGACTGTGCCCCTCCCCGTCCCCCTGGCCATGTGGGGCGGCCGCCGAGCTAAAGGAGGGTGTTTGGTCTCCCCACAGACTGACCCACAGTACACTTCAGCAGTGACAGAGAACATCAAGGCCTTGTGAGTACTGGCCGCCCAGAGAGCTGGTGCCGGCAGGGTCTTTGTGGGGGTTGGGCAGGCAGGTGTTGCTTCCCCTACAGCTAGTGCCTTCCCTCTGTGGGGCAGGGGGCTTGTGTCTGCCTGGTGAGCCTCGAGAAGGGGACAGGGTTTGGTGGGCTCGAGACCCTCAGCCCCTGGAGGCGCACACCCACTGGGCCTTGCCGTCCCTCAGGTTTGCCACAGAGATCCATTCAGGACTCCTAGAGGTCATCTCCCCTTCCCCCCACTTCTACCCTGATTTCTCCCGCCTCCGCGAGTCCTTTGGGGACCCCAAGGAGAGAGTCAGGTATTAGCATTCCCCCAGGCCCTGGCAGCCTGCCGCCTGTGCTGAGAGCCATGTGTTGGCGCTTGCCCACAGCGCTCCCGAGTCTCTGGGAGGACCCTTGCATGAGGGCGGGAGGACAGGCCTGCCCACTCGGTGGCCTCTCTGGTGGCCACCCTGGAGGTGTAGGGTCTGAGCTCCTGAGGCCCTGGCCCTGGCCCGCAGGTGGAGGACCAAACAGAACCTGGATTACTGCTTCCTCATGATGTACGCGCAGTCCAAGGGCGCTTACTACGTGCAGGTCAGCCCTGGCCCCACCCGCCCGATCGGCCCTGGCGCTAAGCCCTGTCCCGGAGCGCAACTGGCCAGCTCTGGTCAGATCTGGGGGATGGCCTGTCCCTGCCCCCACGCCCATCCTGAGTCCTGGCCCCTGCCTGCCCGTGCAGCTGGAGGATGACATCGTGGCCAAACCTCACTACCTGAGCACCATGAAGAACTTCGCACTCCAGCAGCCCTCGGAGGACTGGATGATCCTGGAGTTCTCCCAGCTGGGCTTTATTGGTGTGCCCCCCTCACGCCCTCGGTGCGGCCTCTGCGCCGTCCTCCGGTCCTGCTGCTGTGCTGCGTCATGCTGTGCTAGCCTTCGCCCAGACTGGGCCCGGCCTGTCCTGTTCCCATTTGCACTCTGCATGGAGGGTGTCTCCCTTCATGGTCCCTGCCTGCCCCCTTGTGCCCATGCCCACCTGAAGCCCACCCACGGAGTTTGCTGTGGGAGTGGGACCCTCCCAATGGCTCCACAGGGATTAAGAGGAAGTGGGCAGTGCAGCGCTGCTCACCCAGCACCCTTGTCCCCATCCCACCCCCAGGGAAGATGTTCAAGTCTCTGGACCTGAGCCTGATCGTGGAGTTCATCCTCATGTTCTACCGGGACAAGCCCATCGACTGGCTCCTGGACCACATTCTGTGGGTGAAAGTCTGCAACCCCGAGAAGGACGCGGTAAGCGGGATCTGCACGCAGGGCAGCGGCTTAGCGGCCGGCGGGGACTGGTTCCCGGCTCTGACAAGGAGGGACCGCAGGCTACAGGAGGGCCCTGGTGGCCTGTGGGCAAGCACAAGTTGTGGGAGGCCAGGCTGAACTGAGCCCCTAGGGTGTCACCTCCCTCCGCAGAAGCACTGTGACCGGCAGAAGGCCAACCTGCGGATCCGCTTCAAGCCATCCCTCTTCCAGCACGTGGGCACGCACTCCTCGCTGGCAGGCAAGATCCAGAAACTGAAGGTGGGCCCACCCCCATGCTCACCCTGGGCAGAGCTGGCTGGGCTGGGGTGGGGTGGGGTGGGGCCTGAGCCATCCCTGCCATCCCTTTGTGGCTGCAGGACAAGGATTTTGGGAAGCAGGCCTTGCGGAAGGAGCACGTGAACCCGCCAGCGGAGGTGAGCACGAGCCTCAAGACATACCAGCACTTCACCCTGGAGAAAGCCTACCTGCGGGAGGACTTCTTCTGGGCCTTCACCCCCGCTGCAGGGGACTTCATCCGCTTCCGCTTCTTCCAGCCGCTGCGCCTGGAGCGGTCAGTGCCGGCACCCAGAGGCCTGCTTTGGGGTCGGGGCTGGGTGGCCACCAGGTATAGGCCTCACAACAAATTCCTGGGTCTTTAGGTGACTCCCAGCAAATATTTATCCTCATCATGCTTCAGTTTACTTACCTGAAATCTGGGGCTCCTAAGGGTAGCTACCTTGTAAATAACAAGTCAGACAATGCCATTGCCTGTCACCATGGTCCCAGAGAAAGGCTCTGGTTGCCTTGCACAGCCTGATGGCTGCCCTGGCATGCTTCTGGCCTGGGCCTGGCCTTGCTGCGCTGAGGCCTGGGCGGTGTGCAGTGCCACCCCTGCAGCAGCTCACAGGCCTGCCTGGCCGTAGGTTCTTCTTCCGCAGTGGGAACATTGAGCACCCAGAGGACAAGCTCTTCAACACTTCTGTGGAGGTGCTGCCCTTTGATGTGAGTGTGGAAGGGTGTAGGTGTGCACCGAGGTCGGGCCCTCCCATGGCCATCTGCATGGCCCATGGCCTCCCATGGCCCCTTTTGTCCCCAGAACCCCCAGTCGGACAAGGAAGCCCTGCAGGAGGGCCGCTCAGCCACTCTCCGGTACCCTCGGAGCCCTGACGGCTACCTCCAGATCGGTGAGTGGGAACGGGGAGAGCAGATGCTGGGCTGAGCAGGCAGGCCCTGTTTGGGCTGGGGTTTGGGGACACCCTCTCAGCACTGCCCTCCCCCAGGCTCCTTCTACAAGGGTGTGGCAGAGGGTGAGGTGGACCCTGCCTTTGGTCCCCTGGAAGCCCTGCGCCTCTCCATCCAGACTGACTCGCCGGTGTGGGTCATTTTGAGCGAGGTGAGGCGGGGCTGGGCTGGGGACACATGAGACAAGCCCCAGAGCCCTGGCAGAGCTCTCGGGCCCACTGACCCTTAGTCTGGCTCTTCTAGATTTTCCTGAAAAAGGCTGACTAAGGGAGGTCTTCTGAGGGTGCACTGAGGATCGATCAGCCTGGAGCCCACATTTCCAGGGATGCCGTCGCCGCTGCCCCCGAGGGCCAGGCACACCGCCCAGGCCGCAGGACTGTGCCTGGAGTGGGCTTGGGCCAGCCTGGGGTCCTGCTGGCCCGGAGGCCCCAGGAGCTGGTGCTGCCCAGCCCGCCAGGCCGAGGGAGGAGGCAGGCAGCCCCCACACTGTGCCTGAGGCCGGCCCATGCCACCCGGAGCCATTCACACCTGGCTGGCTCCCGTCAGGCCGTTTTAGAAGAGCTTTTTCTTGGGCGCCCACTGTCTCCGCGGAAACACTGGAATGCATATACTACTTTATGTGCTGTGTTTTTTATTCTTGGATACATTTGATTTTTTCACGTAAGTCCACATATACTTCTTAAGAGCGTGACTTGTAATAAAGGGTTAATGAAGTGTGTGCCTCGAACACGAGTGCTCTGGACAACTCCACCTCTGCCTTTGTGCCTTGCTTTGCTTCACTTCAAGTGTCTGGCCTGTGCCTGGTAGTCTTGCTGGGCCACCTCACCCGTAGCAGCTGCAACTTCTGGTGGCATGTCGCAGCGCTCCCAGCAAGCATCTCTATTGATCTCACCCCTGTTTCACAGGAGGGTCTGAGCCAGCTGGTCAGTGACTTATAGGTAGAGCCCACCCAGAATCCAGGTCCAGGCACCCAAAGCCACCCCTGCCCTGTCAGGAACCCTTACTATTCTCTCCCATGTCATCATTGGTGCTCTGAGTATCTGGCTCCAGCTGGTTCCAGCTGCTTGAGACAAGGCCTTCCCTTTGCTCCTCAAGCCAAAGGCATTTCTGAATCTCCTTGTTACCCTGCTTCGTGGGTTTCAGCTCTGTCCTCATCCTGGGTCCCCAAGACTCTACTCCTCTTTGGTCCCTCGTCTTTGACACCTTTAGGGTCTCCTGCCCACCCCAGGCCTTTGCACACACTGTTGCCCTTGCTTGGAAAGCTGTTCCTCTGCAGCCTTGCTGAAAGTCACTTCTTTACATTGATTGAGACAGTCTCACTCTGTCACCTGGGCTAGAGAGCAGTGGCATCATCATAGCTCACAGCAACCTCAAACTCCTGGGCTCAAGCAATCCTCCTGCCTCAGTATCCCAAGTAGCTGGGACTACAGGCATGCGCCACTACCATGCCTGGCTAATTTTTTCTATTTTTTGTATAATAGATACAGGGTCTCACTCTTGCTCAGGCTGGTCTCAAACTCCTGACCTGAAGCAATCCTCCAGTCTTGGCCTCCCAAAGTGCTAGGATTACAGGTGTAAGTCACTGCACCTGGCCTGAAAGTCACTTCTTTAGAGATGCTTTGGCCAGGTCTTCACAGTGTCTGGTCCCCCAACGCACCTGGCCATTCTCTTGAGGACACCTGTCACTGACTACATTCCTATCATGCTGTCTGCTCGGTGGTCTTGGAGCGCTGTCCTGGACTCCTATACCGTTCTAGATGCTGGGAACCAGTGCTGACAAAAAAGGTCCCTGCTCTCACCTGGGGAGAGACCTACAGGCTCCTGTGTCCACGGTTCAGTGGAGGGGAAGGCCAGAGAGAGGGTGAGGAGACAAGGAGAGGAGAGAGCCCGGGCGAGCGTGGGGAGGAGGAGCCGTGGGGTGAACCCCGAAGGAGACAGGCGCCCTGGGCAGAAGCACCCCGGGAGTGTTGCGGAGGAGGCTGAGTGTAGGGCAGGAGAGGACTGGACGGAGCCCGGTCCCCTGGGAGGCCCTTTCCTTCGCGACCCCACCCATGTCCCCTCCGGCATGCCACGGACTGCCATGGCCCGGCGCTGGCCCTCCAGGCTCCGCAGCCCTCAGCGCGACCCCGACCCAGAGAACGCAGCTGGGGCCAGTCACGACAACTTTAATTAGAGGGCAGGCGGGGGCGAGCAGCCCTCCTCGGGCTGCGGCTTTTCTTCCCGGGCTCCGGCTTTTCTTCCCGGTCCGCCGACTGGGCGGCCTGCTTCTTAGGCCCCGGGCAGCAGCGTCCGAAGCCGTCGGAGGAGCGCGGCGCCGGCGGGGAGGAAGTGCGCGAGCAGGCCGAGCGCCGCCAGCGCCACCAGCAGCCAGAGCGCGCGCGCGCTCGCGTACAGCGGGCCCAGCCTGCGGGCGGCGGGGTCAGGCGCTCGGCCGGGACACCCCGTCCGCGTGGCTGCCCCCACGGCCCGCGCGACCCCACGCGGATCCGGCGGGACCCACGGCCGCCCGGGAGCCCCAGCGCGCCGGCCCGGCCGCGGAACCCACGGGGCCGCCGGACCCCCACGCCGGCCCGGACCCACGGCCGCCGGGACCCCACGGTCCGCCCGGCCCCACGGCCGCCCGGACCACGCCCGCCGGGAACGGCGCCGGACCCCACGGCCGCCCGGGACCCCACGGCCGCCCGGGAACCCCACGGCCGCGCGGACCCACGGCGCCGCCCCGACCCACGGCCCGCCCGGGACCGCCACGGGCCCGCCGGACGCCCCGCACGGCCCGCCCTGACCCCACGCCCGCCGGGACCCACCGCCGCCGGACCACGGCCGGCCCGCGGGAACGCGCCCCACGCCGCCCGGGACCCTAGAACGGGCCGCCCGGCCCCACGGCGCGCACCGCCCCACGGCCGCCCGGACCCCTACGGCCCGGTGGCGCGGGACCCCACGGCCGCCGGACCCCCACGCCGCCGCGGACCGCACGGCCGCCCGACCACGCCGCCCGGCACCCCAACGGCCCGCCCGGGACCCCAGCGGCCGCCCGGGGACCACGGCGCCGCGGGACCCCACGGCCGCCCACCCCAACCGCCGCCCAACCCCACGCCGCCCGACCACGCCGCCGACCCCACGCCGCCCGACCCCACCCGCCGCCCACCTGCTCCCGGCGGGGCCCCGCCCGCCCCGGTTCTCACCTGAGCTGCGCCGAGCGCGCGTAGCCCTGGAAGTAGCGGAGGCGCGCGAACAGGTAGGCCAGGCCGCACAGGGCCGCCGCCCCTGCGAGAGCAGCGCGTGAGCACGGCCTGGGGGCCTGGGGGCCTGGGGGGCCTGGGGGCTCCGGCGAGCGCGCCCTGCCCGCGCGCAGACCTTCGTGGAAGAAGACGCCGGCGACCCAGAGCGCGGCGAGGAACAACGGGAAGTACTCGCTGCAGTTCACCCTGCGGGGCGGGGCGGGGCGGGTGAGGACGCTGGTCCTGGGCCCTGACCGCCCGGGGCTCGCTCGCTTCCCGCCGCGCCTTGCCGCCGCGTCTCACTGGGCTCGGTAGATGCGCTCGAACTCGGGTGGGCCGGTCGTGAGTGGCGGCGACACGCGGAAGGCCCTGCGCGCCGAGATCACCTGCAGGGAGAAGTAGGCTACGAGGAGGGAGTCAGGTCTGAACGCCTGGGGGCCGGAGGGCTTTTCGTCCTGGCCCTGCACTCTCCCTCCTCCTTGCTTGGCCCTCCAGCTCCCTGCGGAGGAGGTGCAGACCCCCGTCGGCAGGCTGCGGGGGAGGGCAGGGCTGAGGCTTGGGTGCGCAGAGGCCCTGTCCCACCCTGTGAGTGTGTGGGGAGGGTTATACGGGCACAGGGACACCTGCCGCAGGAAGGGCCCCTTGAGCGCTTGACCCTGAATCATTTGACTTGAAAAACATAGGCAAATACCCGGCTCTTGCTATCTGGACACCAGGGCCTGAGGACAGACCTGGCTGCATGGCTCAAAGTGCAAGGAAACACACACTGCGTGGTCCCTGGTCACCCACCAGAAGGGACCCAGGCCAAAGTCACTCAGGCTTGGGTCTCTGTGCCTCCAAACTGTGACGTGGGGTCCTGCCTCAGTTTCTCTGTTTAGGCATTCTGGACCCAGGCCTAAATCTGACAGCCCCCCTCTCTCCTGCTCCCAGGTGGTTGCAGCTGGGACTCCCCAGCTTAACTCCAGGACCCCAGGGCTCTGCCACCCTCCATTCCAACACGGGGAGGTGCAGGGACAGGCTGGGCCTCAAGGTTCTCTGTCAGCAAGGGCCCTTCTCTTGGCCCTGGGCCACACACACAGCCCAGTGCTGAGAGCCTGCCTATGTCCCAGTAAGTCCTGTGTCCCTGGTGCCTTTGGTGCCAGGCCCTCTACAGACATATCCTACTGCAAGTGCCAAGGGGTGGCCAGGTCAGCACAGTGCTGGTCGTCCCGTTGGCCTGTCTGTTCTGCCACTGCAGGGCCCCCACCTGGGGCTGTGCCTTATCCTAGCCCACACCTGGGGGGGCAGTGGTGTCCCTAAGCCACAGAGATATCTAGTCCAGGAATATGGCTTCTAGCCCAGTATGGGAAAGGCATAGAGCTGGCACCTTTTGTGGGGCTGGGAGAGTGGGTTCCAACCCTGTCCAGCTCCACATGGTCCCAGCATGGAGGGTGCCTTTGAAGGCAGGGCTGAGGGGTGGAGGCTGCTCGCTGGGACAGCCAGAGAGAGGACAGCTGGAAAGGGTAGGGATCAGCTGCCCCAAGCCCACAGCTGTCTGACCATTCTTCCTGGCACCCTCCTGCTCCCCACGTCCTGTAGCTCACACAGCTGCGTGCCCCACCTGGATCCCCGAAGGCCGCCGCCCTCCTCCAGGCTTCTTTGTGCTGGCCCAGCTCCGAGGGGCTTGGGCCTTGGCACTGGAGCCTGGGCTGGAGGCCCCTCCTCTGCCCGGACGGGGGCTGGCTAGCACCTCCCCAAGGACTGGTGGGCAGAAGGCAGGCGACGGGGTCTGAGACCCACCACCTCCCAGAGAAGAGCTAGCCCACCTTGCAACAGGACTCCCAGGAGGGTGACGGTGGCCAGGAGGGCCACATCGTCCTTCATGGTGCCGGTGGCTTTGACGGCCCAAGCTGGCGTGTGGAAGGGCCAGCTGGAGAGCTCTTATCTCCTGCTGCTCAGAGGTTGGCCCAAGAGAGGAAGAATGGCCTCAGCACTCTGCCCGCCCCCGTGGCTGTCTCTGTGGAGTGGTGGGGGCGGGGACCATGCCCACACGGAGCTGGGGAGCGGGCTAGGCCAGCAGGGCGGAAGCCAGGCCTGGGAGTGGGCCAGCAGCCAGCTGGGGTCAGCCTGGCCACTTCCTCCAGTTGTTCTTGTCCCCTCCATGCCTAGCCCTGTGCCGACAGAGCCCAGCCTATCCGCCCCTGGGTGTGACCAGCTGCAGCATCGCCCAGTGAGTCACAGGCTCTGCACCTTTGGCAGGTCTCAGATGGCTCTTCAGACCTCCCCTTCATCCTGGGGCCAGTCCCCAGCCTCAGGCTCACCAGCTCCCAGCCCTGCCTCACCACCCACCCCTGCACACAGACTTATCTGCATCCCCGCCCCCAACCAGGGCTGTTCTGTCACATGCAGCTCTGACTGCACCCTCCCCTGCCCAAAGCCTCCCTGTAGCCTCAGAATGGAGTCTAAGCCCGCCCCCTTCCCCTTGCCCCCCAGCCACAGTGGGCCCACCAAGTTCTCCCTCCTTCAGGGAAACCTGATACCTGCCAGTCTCACATTCACAGGGCTCCAGGGACAAGGGCCATCCTGCCATGGCAACAGCACCTGTCCCAAGGCCTCCCAGCTGGCAGAGTGGGTCAGCCCACTTGGGATGGCCAAACCCATCACTGTAATGGGCCTCTGACCCCAGAATCGTCACCTGCCATTTGTGCCTGCCTAGCATCCCTCAGGGTAAGCTCGACCCTCCCCCTGCCTACACTGAGGCCTGCGGGCTGGACGGAGCTGGCTCCTGCCTCTCCCGGGCCTGCGGGCTGGACGGAGCTGGCTCCTGCCTACACCGAGGCCTGCGGGCTGGACGGAGCTGGCTCCTGCCTACACCGAGGCCTGCGGGCTGGACGGAGCTGGCTCCTGCCTCTCCCGGGCCTGCGGGCTGGACGGAGCTGGCTCCTGCCTCTCCCGGGCCTGCGGGCTGGACGGAGCTGGCTCCTGCCTCTCCCGGGCCTGCGGGCTGGACGGAGCTGGCTCCTGCCTCTCCCGGGCCTGCGGGCTGGACGGAGCTGACTCCTGCCTCTTCCGGGCCTGCAGGATGGACACTTGAGCCAAGACTCCAGACAGTGAGAGGCAGTTCTGGAAACTCTGGGACAAGAAGCTCCAGGTGGGGAGGGAGATGACTGAGGGCTGCTGGCCACTGGCCACCCTGGGAGGATGGAGCCACACAGGGCTGGGCTGCGAGGAGAGGAGAGAGGCGGCCGAGGACTCGCATCATGGCCTCTGGGCGGCTCGGCCTTTACAGTTCCGTGAGGTGCCTGCTTCTGCTTTTGGCTTGAGTGGGCTTGAGGTGGGTTTTGGTCAGTGGTGGCAGAGTCCAGCCTGACAGAGCTGCGTGGGCAATAGCCGGGCGAGGCCAGGTGCTGGGTGCAGGGACGGGTCCTGGCCTCAGGGGCCTTGGGAGCTCTGCCCTTGCCACCCAGACTGAGGGTGGTGCCTGCTGGGCTCCCCCAACCCTCCCCCGCCATCACCTGGCCACTGCCCCCAGAAAGCCACATGCTCCCTGCTGGGGACCTTCCAAGCTCCTCGAGGGCAGGGGTTGTGCCCATGCCTGGCCCAACTTTAGACCAAGAGCTGAAGTAGCAAATGCCTCCTAGGAGCAGGGATGCAAAGACACAGTGCCAGGGAGCAGAGTGGTCCCCATCCTCCCGCCCTGCCTTTGCCCATGGAGTCACCTTCCTCACTGAACCTGCCCTGTTTGTGGCCCTGTGGCCCGGCCAGGCCTGCCTGAAGGCGGGGACACAGGCTGCCCCGGCATGGCGTCAGCATCAGGGCCCAGCGCACTGTGCGTGTCCATGTGCCCCTGTACCCACCAGCCCTGTCACACACCACGTGTGTCTCTCTGTGCTCCAGTGCCAGAGCTGGTCCACGGGCTGTGTGTCCGTGTGTCTTTGCTCGAGCCCAGGCTCTCCTCTCTGCCAAGCTCTCATTTTCTCCGAGGCCTGGACATCCTCCAGACCGAGCTCGTCCCCTCAGCCCTGGCAACAGGAAGCTGAGGGCTGACAGCAGCAGCTTCTGAGGAAGTCCCTGGGCAGATGTCCAGGACAGGGGAGTGGGTCCCGGACCCACAGCCTCCTCAGGCCCCCGGGTCCCCACCTCCCTCGCTCTGAGCTTGCTCAGCCTCTCAGGGCTTGGGCTTGAGCCAGCTCCTGCGGACAGAGGGCCAGGCAAGGCCCTCCAGGCTCTGGACACCCAGCCTCCATCCTCCTGGCCAGCTCTGGAGGCACCACCAATCGGGAAGGAAGTGAAAGCTTCTCCCAGCCCCTGCTGGTGCCCTTCACGACTGCAGCCCCCACAAGGCCCTGAGGAGCCGCCAGACACCCACTCACCAAGGACGCTGAAAGGTAGAAAGGTCAGCAGAGCTGTCACATAGAAAAGAGGTCGGAGCTTCTGAGCACTAGACCATCATAAGCAGTGCACACGGCTCAGAGCCTGAGCTTGAAAAAAAATTTTATTTTGAAATTATTTTAGACTTACAAAAACATTGCAAAACCAGTACATGCTCCCCATGTATAACCCTTCACCCACTTCCTTCAACGTCAAAATCTTATATAATGGCAACTCCACTATGTAAACCAAGAGAGGAACGTCCATACAATACCACCAAGCCTCTCTCCAGATCTTATTCAAGTCACCAGCTGACCCACCGAAACGGTACAGTCTCTAAGAACGTTATGCTGTGCCTGACACAAAAGTCCACATGTGGTATGATTCCATTTACTTGAAATGGCTAAAAAGGCAAATCTGTATATAGAGAAGACAGATCAGTGGCCACCTGGGGCTGGGAGCATAAGGCATCTTATTGGGGTTATGGAAATACCCTAAAACTGGCTTGTGGTGATGTTTGTTCAACTTAGTACATTTACTAAAAATTTTTTTTTTCTTTTTTTTAGCTAGCATAGATGCCATTACTAAAAATTTTGAATGTATGCTTGAAATGGGCAAATTTATCACATATAAATTAATTATACCTCAATAAAGGTGTTTTTAAAAATAGCACAAAGGATCCAGGTGCGGTGGCTCATACCTGTAATCCCAGCACTCTGGGAGGCCAAGGTGGGAGGATTGCTTGAGGCCAGAAGTTTGAGACTAGCCTGAGCAAGAGCGACCCTTCTCTACTAAAAATAGAAAAATTGGTGGTGGCACATGCCTGTAGTCCCAGCTACTCGGGAGACTGAGGCAGGAGGGTCCCTTGAGCCCAGGAGTTGAGGTTGCTGTGAGCTGTGATGATGCCACTGCTCTCTAGCTGGGGCGACAGAGTAAGACTCTCAAAAAATAAATAAAATAATTAATAAAATGTAATAGCTCAAAGAATGCTCGTATACCTTTCACCCAACTGCCTCAAATGTTCACATCTTATATAATGACAGTGCAATTTATCAAAATGAGGAAATCAACATGTATTATCTACAGACCTGTTCACATCTCAGTGATCCCGCCGTAGGGCCCTTTTCCTGGGCTAGGGCCTCACGTCGCATGCAGTGCCATTAGTTTCTCCAATCTGGGACACGCACACGCCCTCAGTCTGCGCCTCTGTGGTCTCCACGCCTGAAGAGCACCGTCGGTTCCTTCGTAGAGCAGCCTCAACCTGGCTGGTGTTTTGTGTTTTTCTTTCTGAGACAGAGTCTCGCTCTGTTGCCCGGGCTGGAGTGCCTTGGCGTCAGCCTCGCTCACAGCAACCTCCAACTCCTGGGCAAACACGATCCTCCTGCCTCGGCCTCCCAGAGTGCTACGGTTACAGGCATGCGCCACTGTGCCCAGCCTTCAATCTGGTTTTGTCTGATGTTTTCACATGACTAAACTGAGGTGATTTGTTTTTTGGCAGGAAGATCACAGAAGTGATGTGCCCTTCTCAGTGCTTCACGTCAGAAGGGACATTGAGGGCCGGGCGTGGTGGCTCACGCCTGTAATCCTACCACTCTGGGAGGCCAAGGCGGGAGGATCACTCAAGGTCAGGAGTTCAAAACCAGCCTGAGCAAGAGCGAGACCCCGTCTCTACTAAAATAGAAAGAAATTAATTGGCCAACTAAAAATGTATAGAGGCCGGGAGTGGTGGCTCACGCCTGTAATCCTAGCACTGGGAGGCTGAGGCGGGCAGATCACTCAAGGTCAGGAGTTCGAAACCAGCCTGAGAGAGACCCCGTCTCTACTAAAAATAGAAAGAAATTAATCGACCAACTAAAAATATATATACAGGCCGGGTGCGGTGGCTCACGCTTGTAATCCTAGCACTCTGGGAGGCCAAGGCGGGCGGATTGCTCAAGGTCAGGAGTTCAAAACCAGCCTGAGCAAGACCCCGTCTCTACTATAAAAATAGAAAGAAATTAATTGGCCAACTAATATATATATATATATAAAAAATTAGCCGAGCATGGTGGCTCGTGCCTGTAGTCCCAGCTACTCGGGAGGCTGAGGCAGGAGGATTGCTTGAGCCCAGGAGTTTGAGGTTGCTGTGAGCTAGACTGACACCATGGCACTCACTCTAGCCTGGGCAACAAAGTGAGACTCTGTCCCAAAAAAAAAAAAAATGTACAGAAAAAAATTAGCCAGGCATGGTGACGCATGCCTGTAGTCCCAGCTACTCAGGAGGCTGAGGCAGGAGGATTGCTTGAGCCCAGGAATCTGAGGTTGCTGTGAGCTAGGCTGACGCCATGGCACTCTAGCCTGGACA